AGCTATCCACTAAAGTACCATGAATCCTAATACATAACTCTAAAGTCTGGAATTTTGAATTCATTAATCAATAAATTAACACTTTAATCAAGATTTAAATCCTCTTCAATTATAACTAACCCTATAAAAAGTAAAATCATTATAAAATTGTGATTGGAAAAGATTTACAGGTCATCTCTACAGGCCATGTAGGTATTTCAGCCTGAAACTCCCTGTATCTTAACTAGTATATTGAGAATCTGAAAAACAAAATGGAGTGGAGCGGAATGAAATAGAATAGAATATTCTTTATTGGCCAAGTGTAATTGGATACACAAGCAATTTGTTTCCAGTGCATAAGCTCTCAGTGTACATACAAACAACAAAGTAATATAAGATACCAATAGTAGAAGGCAATAGGAAAGATGAGAAAGATAATAGTAATACAACCCTATTGCATGGGTAAACATCCTTAGAATAAGATAGTACTGTGAGAATTATGTGTTCAGCAGAGTGATGGCATGAAGGAAAAAAACTGTCTTTGTGTCTAATTGTTTTGGCATGCAATGCGCTATAGTGGTGTCCTGAGGGGGGAGGAGTTGAAACAGTTTAAGTCCAGAATGTGAGGTGTCTGTAGATATTTTCTAAGCCCTCTTTCTGGCTTGTGCAGTATACAAGTCCTCAGTGGAAGGCAGGTTGGTTGCAATTGTTTTTTCTGCAGTCTTAACTATCCGTTGAAGTTTGTACGGGTCATGTTTGGTTGCTGTTCTGAGGTGGTCTCCCATGGAGAATGAGACACGCACGCAGCAGGTATCTCGGGATGGAAGCCCAGAGCTGACTCCAGCACCCTCTTTTATTGTTACTCAGGTTTTTACATCACACAGCGTAATCAAAAGACGTATATAGGGGTGGTTACAATATATCAAATAACAGACACTCTCCAGATGCAAGGCTACGCAGGTGTTCTTATCAGAGTCTGTCCAAAAGGTTGATGAATGCATCCTGTGTCTGAAACAGACCGTTTGTTATTTCAGGCCCTTGTGGGAGATGTCCATGGGCATTTGTGCAATTAATCCCACACTGTTCCAAACCAGATAGTTATAGAAATACAAATGACAGATTCAATAATTCCTCTGAGAAGTGTTTCAGCAGATTCTTGGGCAATCTGAACTTTCTGAGTTGACACAGAAAGAACATTCTTTGTTGTGCCTTTTTAATGATGGTTCTAATGTTAGGTGTCCATTTCAAGTCCTGGGAGATTATAGAACACAGGCACATCAAGGTCTCTATTATTGATACTGTGTTGCCTAATATTGTAAGAGGTGGTAGAATTGGTAGGCTTCTCCTAAAATCTACTACCATCTCTACTGTTTTAAGAGTGTTTAGCTCCAGATTGTTCTGGCTGCACCGCAGAGCCAGTTGTTCTATCTTCCATTTCTATGCAGAATCCTCTAGATTCTAGAATGAGACCACTATTGTGTCATCTGCAAACCTCAGTACTTTTAACAGAGGGAGCCTTCAAGATGTAATCATTGGTATATTTAGAGAAGAGTAATGGAGAGATCATACAACCATGGGGGGGACTCCTGTGTTAATTCAATTAATTCAGGTATTCAGTATGATTTTACATAGCTTTACCTGCTGCTTTCTATCTGTTAGAAAGCTTATAATCCACTTACAAATGTGTTCAGGCACAGATAGGTGTGTCAGTTTGGAGAGAAGAATTTCTGCAATGATGGCATTGAATGCCAAGCTGAAGTTTACAAAAAGAACCTTTGCAAAGGTCCTTGGGGATTCAAAATGTTGTAAGATGTAGTGCAGTGCCATGTTAACAGCATCATCTGCTGATCTATTTGCACAGTAGGCAAATTGCAAAGGGTCTAGCAGCGGATCCGTGATAATTTTCAAGGGGGGGGCAGCATTAACCTTCTAAAGGTTTTCATAACTACAGATGTTATATTACTACATAACTACATAGTTATGTTACATGACTACAGATGCTATGTCAAATGTTAAATAAAATGCAGAATAGAAAAATGAATTGATGTTACCTAGGTAGATCAGATGTTACATTTTTATTGTATATTTTTATTCATAATATTGTAGGAAGTCAGCACCCCCCCAAGAAGAAAGAAATATTTAGGGGATATTAAAAAAAGGCAGAATATTTTCCCAAAAGAATAATGAGAAAAAATCTTAAAAGGAAGAAACCTCTCCCACAAGCAGAAACTCAGCAGGCCAGCTCTGTAGAAATGCACATTTAATAATCCTTTCAGAAAGACTGGAGCCAGTAAGCTTGGAACTGATGGGATTAGAAAGACAAAGACCCCTAAAATCTACACTCCCCCACGCAAAATCTAGACATGACCTTTAGGAAATAATAGGATTAACCCACCACCATTAGAATATCAAAAAGGGCACACTGAACCTCAGGTCAAAGTTCATTGCACAGGAACAGGAATAACCTCAAACAGGAACAACTCCAAACAAAAAAAACGCAAAAGGTATAAAAACCCATCCATTCTCAGCTCCATTTTGTTAGCTTTCCCAGAACCGCATGCTTTTGCTGTTCTGTTCTTCAATAAACTGAACCTTCTTTCCTAAGTAACCTCCATTTTTGGCTTGGTTCGGACCCTGAAGATTTTTCTTTCAACAATATTCTAAATTAGATTAATACTAACTAATCTTTTTTTTTCTTTTGACAGTCCCAATGCAGTGCCTTTATTTCACTGGGCATTCTGGCTTTACCGTATTTGGAATTGCATTATGGCTTATGATCTACTAGATGGCAGCACTTAAACTAGAAAGTAAGCATTATCTGGTTATTTGGATGAAACCGAATATGGGAAGTCCAACACTGTTTAAAAGAAACATATGAAAGAAAGCAATGGACAACCACTCTGAATTTTTGCCAAAAGCCTACATAGATTTGTCTGGGTACGTCACTGGACTTCAAAACAAATTTATCTCCTATTATGTACTGAAAAGTGGTATTTGACTATTTTTCAAATTGCTAGACTTGTCTTACTACCAATAATAATTTTTAATAGCATTAGCAGGCAAAATGTGTATCTTTGTTTCACAAGTACATTCCTAATTATATATTTCAGAATTAGCAGTTTACAAATGGCAATTGAATTAGATCACTTCTCTGTTTGAAAGCCTAGATAAACTGCTCAGGATTGTGCAATCATCATCAGAATTTGCAAATTGTCACTGTGCTTATTTTGTACATATTTAAGTTTCAGTATAATTGTCATTTCTGTACTGCAGTTCTACATGTCTGCCTGTTAGTTTAATAAGACTCACTTGGATCAGAAAAACATCCAGGTCAGTGAGGGCCAAAGAAGAGGAGAAATGGGAAGAACAGAGACTAGAGTTAAGGAAGTAAAATGAGTATATAGAAAAGAGCGCAGTTCTTTGCAGGGCCAAGAAATAGCTCTGGGGCAATGTTTGAACTGCACATATATTGTTTTTAAACTGTGCATTAAGATATATGTAAAACAGTGTGAATTAGGGGAATAAATTATCAGAGGGTTTCTTTCTGTAGAAGATTGCTGAATTAGAATGAATGAAAATGCAGTACTGAAGGTTGTGAGCAACTTATGTAAATAGCTGGTGTCCTTTCTGTCTCTTATGCTTTTTTATGACATAGTAACAGATTTTGATAATTTTCAGGAGACTCAGAGACAATCAGCTTTGTCAGTGTTATGACGTTAGAATTCAAAGCAGGACCAAGCAAATATAATGTGCATGCTACATGTTAGGGGAGAGAACAAACACGTGGCTTTGTAGATGTTACTGGAATTATAGTTCTCACTATCTTTCACCACTGGTTGCTCTGAGTTATATTTCAGAAATTTCTAGAGATTTCTTCACTTTGTTACACATTATTTAAACTATATAACCAAGGCCTTCTTCCCTATGTGATTTAAAGCAAAGCAGCAGCAAAGAGGTATGGATTGATGCCTTTTGCATTCTGGTTTCCTCCATTAATTTTTTTTCTGAAGCAAGAGCAGCCATTGAGAAGGGAAAAACTTTCACTTGCTGTCCAAAATGGGTTGAGACATTGCCCTAAGCATTAACTATGGCTTTACAAACTGAAAGGGCTAGATTCATGGATATCCTAAAGTGAAGCCAATAATTACATTGATCTCGATCCAGAACATACATTCTAACAGGAATCTTTGTTATTAATAACTATGTTTAATATCTCAGAGTTTAGAATTGTTTAAAATGGTACATAGGTAATTTCCACACAGTGAGTTATTACCTTCTGCTGCATTTTGCACTACTCTGAATGTTCCCATGAACTATGGTGGCTTTTTGGGAATTCAGTGAAGGAGAAAAGGGGAGGAAGGAAGAGCCGTAAAGCTGGCCAACAGGGCAATATGAAAATTTGGTCTTTTCCTTGGATGAGAGAAGCCACATTTCTGAGCAGTCCTGAAGAATTGAGAAAAGAAATTATGTATATCACCTTAAGTTCAGGAAGATGAATAGGAATCTGGGAGCCTAGGAAATGGGGCGGGACAGGAGATCCTGCTACAGTAATAGGTGGCTATCTGGTCTGTCACTTTAAAGGAAATATAATCTTGCTATGTTTCTTGTTAGGCAGGAGCTGAGCCCGCAGTTATCTAGATTAGCCTTCTAAGTCTGCTGGAAGCTTCACAACAATCTGTTAGTATGTTGTTTTGTTATATACAATAATTGTGCTCCTAATAAATGTTAAGTCATATGCAATGAGGTAACATCATCTGTATAGAGTTCTCAGAACTTATACTCCATGTCTGAAAATATATATTCTCTTGTGACATCATGTGACATCGTGAGACATATCGGGACAGTTTTGCCATTGCCGGCAATGGGGTGGGCGCAGCTTCCGAATGACACCCCTATAAACAGAATAACAGAGTTGGAAGGGACTTGGAAAATTTCTAGTTCAACCCACTGCTCAAGCAGGAGATCCTATACAATGTTAGACAAATGACTGTCCAGTCTCTTCTTAAAAATCTCCAGTGATGGAGATGTAATATACAAGACCTTTTTTTGCTTTGATGTTGGCAAATCAATTGATTGACTTCCTGACAATATTGCCACACCAGCTGGAGTAGACTACCTAAATATTTGACAAGGCATGTTCTTAATCTGGTACTGAAGATCCTATGTTGTTTTCAGCTTTTCAAATTTTGTAAAACATTTCTTCTTACTGATGAGGAATAATTAGTATAAATTGAATACTTTATTTAGCCAAGTATGATTAGACACAGTAGGAATTTGTTTCCAGTGTCTTCACAGGTTGCTAGTTATTTCTTCTGGCCTCTATAGTCTTCCTGTCTGTCTGCCTTGAACTTTATTAAACCCAAAATATAGTAAACAATGCAATAAAGAAAAATACAACTGTGTCTTTATATCCTACGATTAAGCTCAAATCTCCAGCGAGGATCTTTGCATCATCCTTTGGTTTCTTTTTCTCATATCAAACGCAGAGGCAAGTAGAAAAACAGTATCCGATTTTCCAAACCTTATGTTCAACTCCCAGTAATGACAATTACACAATATAATCAGCTATAATTCTTACAGTTTTGACCTAGAACTGGAAATCCTTGTTATATCTTGTTGGGTTTACCTAATACGATATACCATAGTTTAATATATCTTGATTACATACATCATAATTGGCTGGATTTATACTCAGATTTAACCATAACCAAATCAGCCATAATTTTTAATTACGGTAAACAAATTAGCCATAATAACCTATTGTTAGTGTTTTTCTACCTTTAAAAAAAATGCTCATGTTTATTAGTATAATTAGCATATATAATAATAAAGAAAATATATTTTGATCAGTGGTACCTGTATAAAAGTTACTGCTGTAAACCTTGGCTCATCCAGTATACTTGGTTAAAATGTATTGTTTAACTTTGCTCAATGTGCTGTGTGAAACCAGGAAATTGTATTAATGTAGTTACATTGAGGTTCAGTAAAACATACATGAGCACAGTTTATATCAATGACTTCAAAAGTCTCAGTAAAAGTAGTTTATTTGGGAAGAAGCTGTAATAGGAGGTAAAACTGTATAACTTATAAACATGTCATTTGTTAATTTCTATAGGCCATTTGGTATGTCCACTTGATGCATGAAACTTGTTAAAGATAGCCCTCGTTAATTCTGATAATAGAGCAACTGAACCTTAGAATAACATTTTGGCTCATTACCTTAATATTATCCCATCTAAGAGACACATTATCAATAGCGCAATACTAACTCCATTAATTAATACCAATTAATATAACCAGCTAAACACTGAACTGTCATTTGACAGTCATAAACAAAACCATGTTCATTTAAGTATTTATTGCATGCAAAAACATGATTGGATAAAACAGAAACAGCAATTGTGAGACACTGCAAGTCACATGGTAACATTAGGTAAGCTAACAATATGATGTGAGGCATAATTTCAGTGAGAGTGTATATACGTATGTGAATACACTCAAAAGGAATAGTTTATCTCTACTGCCAAACCGGTTCATGCCTGAGGTTTTAGCTGAAACAAGAATTTGAACATCCACAACAAAATACGGTGAGCATAGCTTTCCGAGAATAGTAAGAATATTTTGCCTGCTTTAATGGCTAGTACTTTCTACAATCTGTCTCCATATGCTTTCTTACAAAGCCCTCAACAACAGCCTGGGGTTACATATTAGACTGCTACAGTTACTCTGATTATATCCAGAAAAGTGCAGTCCTCTTCTTTCCAGAAAGCCATTCAGGGGGAAGGGAGGGCCCATCTAACTATATCACTAGTCATTGTGATTGCATTGCGATACATCATATCAAAGTTCCCTGTGAGGCAACTCTTTTGAGAAAGATTGTCTATTCTTCTACTTGTGCCAAGGATCAACAAGACCAACCAAGAGTTAATGTTATGACTTAAAATACCGGAGAAAGGGAAAGAAGAGAAGAATCAAGGAAACCATGAGGTTTCTGGAATATTGAGGCTAATGGCTACGCATCCAGGTCAAACTCATTTTTGTTTTTCTCATTTAGAAACCAGGACAACTTTCTCTACCCTGATGCAGAAGTGGACTATAACTTCCAGAATTTCCATCATCATGCCCTGTCTTAGGCTATAGTTCAACAGATCTGAAGGACACCAAAGGTACACCTGTTATAGGGCCACTCTTATTCATGTTTCAATATCCTATGTTTTGCTGAAACAATTATGGTAGAATTATATTTAGATTATTGTCATGCCGTTATTACTCTCAAATAGAGCTTGGACAAGGAAAAGAAAGGATATTAATAGTATGACAAGGAAATTTTCAGTGAAAAACACTTTTTAGTATGAGAAATCACAGTAACACTGATAGAAGAAATAACAGATATAGGAGACAAGGTATGGTCCACAGATTTTAATAGTCATTTTCTTTCTGGGAACCACTGACCTGAGGCTAAGTCTTGTATTCCATTTAGAGCAGGGGTGTCAAACTCGCAACTTCACGTGACATGTTGCGACATATGGGGCGGGCTGGCAGTTTGACATCCTTGATTTAGAGTCTTTAAATAGTTGTTTATGCATTTAATTTAAAAAAATTGGGATAGGGCCAATAAACTTAATAAATAAAAATAAAATAATAAATAAGTAAATAAAGTAGGTAAGTAAGTAAGTAAATAGGAATAGAGATTTCTTATTTTTAATAGAGTACTTCTGGGAGAATATAAGTTAAGCAAATGGTATAATGATGTTCCAAAGGGTGGGTATGATGATAGAAAAAGCTGTTGCCCCAAATCCCATCATGTTGTCACTTCATCCAAAATTAAATGAGGATGATCACAATGAAAACACTACAATATATACTTTACTATAAGGGATCTGTTCCTTATTTCAGTAATCTGAAGACTATCTTTTTCTACACAATCCTGTCTGGTCATGAGTGGCCTTTTTGAAGGTTTCTGTACAGTGTGAAGCAAGGTGACATTTTATCTGGGGTACAGTTCTCCTTGATGGGGCATCCCCACTTTGAAATTGTTCCCAGAGAAGCTTGTGGAAGTTATTTCCACCGTCCTTTCAAACAGAATGCTTACTAAGAACAGAAACCAATTCTATGATTGAAAGGCTGTCAGAAGACAGTTTTCATTTTATTTTGACTATTTAGAGGGCTTTCCAACTCTACAAGGACAGCAACAAGGCGGCTTTGAAATTGGCTGTTCAAATCATCTTGCAGCAAACTGAACATACTGGCATACTGGCTATCTAATCAGAATCTTCTCCACCAATAGCAAATGAATGCACGGTTAAACCACATCTTCCAGCAGATCTGGCCAATAACAAAGGGTGTTGGGAGATGCAATTTAATATCATTAGGAAGGTCACATTTTAGGAATTCTTGCTTAGCATCTACAGTGTAGCTCAGTGATGGCGAACCTTTTAGAGATCGAGTGCCCAAAAACTGGCCCGGCCCCCACTCCACCCCCGTCCCATCCCCATTCTGCCCTCCCATTCCCCGCCCCGCCTTCCTACAGGACAACTCACTGCCTTCAGGGCCCACCGCAGATCGCCCAGGCAGCCCAGCAGCGTTATGGTGGCCACACCCTCTGCCCACACTCTGCAGCATCAACTGCATGATGGGGTGTGAGGGCAGAGTCTTGTCTACAGTGCCTGGCTGCCATGTCCTTGGCTGCACTGTTCTGTGTGGGCCACATCGGGGGCGACTCTCCTTCAGGGGGGCTGCTGGAGAGGAGGGGGTCATGGGGGGAAGCAAGGCTGAGGCAATGGCACGTGTGCCCACAGAGAGGGCTCCGAGTGCCGCCTTTGGCACCTGTGTCATAGGTTCGCTACCACTGGTATAGCTTTAAGAAGATATATATTCCTTTTTGACTTCTTTTTAGATTAATATTTCCTTTTTATATGGTCCCTGATTTCAGCATGTATTTTTTTCTTTTTACCTGGGTTTTTAAAGATAGACGGTTTGATTTACGAATCTGATTGACTTTTAAAAATATAACACTGTGTTATATATTGCTTCCAAATTTATAAACCACTATGCAAAATGGTAAGCAGCATTTTAAATAAAGAAATTATGTAGTTATATGCCTAGTTGACTTCATTTCTGATCTAATTAAGCTATATAATATCCCAGTCCTCTCTTTAATGTTGGACATGTTGGCTTTCTATTACAGAACTTTCTTCTCTAAGTTTCTTACTGGTATCCTGTATCTCTAATTTTCCTTGTCATGGAAACCATTTCTAACATTCTACAAGATGTGCGCGATTACTGGGCTGATCATTTTTCTCGTAGATTCTATCCAAGAAGGCCAGCACTTCGCCAAGCAACTTCATTATCCACCTTTTATTTATTGGACTACAAAACCCGACAAGCTGAACTTGGAATGGACTATGGCCATCCATGTGCTCAGCTGAACAAAACAAAATTTGTCTTCCACGGTGGTGAGTGGCAAAATGAGGGTGTCCCCCAACAGATGCCCTTATTACAGTTATTCCCCTCTCCAGATAAGGAATCACCCAGCAAAGCCCTGAAGAAAGCAAACAAAGCCTTACTGGAAGAGAACAATTACTTGAAGCTACAGCTTGAGCTGCTTATGGACATGCTGACAGAGACCACAGCACGACTTCACTTAGTAGAAAAAAAGCTGGACACTACAACTTGGCATTCAAATATGAAAAAGTCAAATAACAAAGTGCTGATGCTTCGAGCTTAATAAACAGCTTAGATATAAGATCTAAAATAACTGTATTTGTGAAGTACTGATGTCCAGACACTTAATACAATCTTGCAAAAAATAATTTTGTAATGGCTTTGATTATTTTTGCTGTGTTTTAACTCACTGAGGTGCTGGGGAGAGAAGAAACCTTGCCATTATATTTAGTTCTGATGGTGGGTAGACTCAAAAGGAGCAGCAATTGCTTCTTGGATAGACTATGCTGCTGATATGAGCACCTGTCCCAGAAGCAACTCTCCAGCATGACTTCCAGGATGCCGATTCAATTGTTTCTGTTGTTATTTCCTAGCACAGTGGTTCTCAACCTGTGGGTCGGGACCCCATTTGGGGTCAAATGACCATTTCACGGGGGGTCGCCAAACCATGCTGTCCGCCATTTTTTCCCCTTTTCCCTAGCTGTCCTACTCCCTCTTATTGGGGCCACACCCACTTGGGGGTCACCACAACATGGGGAACTGTATTATGGGGTCACGGCATTAGAAAGGTTGAGAATCACTGTCCTAGCAGATAAACATAAATGGGAATTTCCCATGGTCTACAATAGGCTAAAAGCAGTGGCTGGCAATGTCACTTAACCAACTGTTTCACTTCCACTGCTAGAAGTCATCTGTTCTGTTGTGCAACTGTCCTCTTTCTCTTCCCACGAATCCAGTATCTACTATCAGACAGTAATGCAATTAGAGCAGCAGTCTTGAAGAAAATGCAACAATGTCCCTGCTTATTCCTCTCTGCACTGCAGCTTGCTTGTGCATAGATAACTTGATCACACCAAATTTCAGCCTCCATTTGTCCATGTAAACTGGCATTGTCCACCCTTACAGCCAGTGGCTTCCCAGGTTCTTTGGCAGAAAAAGCAATCTTATTAGCTGTGACCTGATTCTTTTAACTCAAGATGTTGGAGATTAAATCCGAAATTCTTCATCATGTACTGTAAAGGTGTGCTTTAATGTACTGTAATGAAGCATACTGATACGTATACAAATAAAGATGTCTCTTCAGCTGAATTCCCAGTGTGTGTGTGTGTGTACAGTGTACTCTGAGCTTGCTTATTTTCTTGCAGACATGACATTACCCTAACTAGGTAATATCGTTAAGGAGTGCTGTTTGCTGGCAGTTTATATTCTGGTGTCTTGTCTGTCTGGGAGGGTAGGGGCGGTCTTAGGGATTCTTTGGTTGGGCTGTTTACTAATTGCTCTTTGGCAGTTTCTTGATTGGGGTATTGCTTGCTTGATTGTTGGTCTGAAGGTGACCTTGGAGTTAATCTATGCTGATCTGAGTGCTGATTACTGGTGGAGAAGTGCTGGAGTCTTTTTCTCTTTTGGGATGGTTGATTGTCTCTTTTTCATAGTCTATAGATGTTGTTAATGTGTATGTGTCTATTGATAGCTGATTTATCAGAGTGCCAGGCTTCTAGAAATTCCCTGGAATTTTTGGATTTGGCCTGGTCCAGGACTGTCATTTTCCCAAGTAAAACAATGGTTAAATGTTGTGAAATTAAAAAAAAAATCATCATGCCTTTTGATTGCCAGTTGGTGTTCATGGATGCATTCTGCCAGTCTTCTGCCTGTTTGTCCTACATAGATGTTGTTGCAGTTCTTACATTGTATGTTATAGACGACTTGTTTTTTCTTCTGGGGTTGCTGGATCTTTGGGTTTATTTAAGACGTTTTGAAGGGCCTTAGTTGGCTTACATGCTACCCTGACTCCATGTGGTTGTAGTAGTCTATTTGCAATTTCTGGAATATTCTTGATATAAGGCAGTGTAATTCTTTTTAGGGATTGTGTTGGCTGTGCTGTATTGGGTTGAGTGGTCAGGGACTTTTTGATGAAGTTGTGTGGGTATCCATTTTGTTGGAATGTGTTGTATATAGATGCTCCATTTCCTTTTTTCTGTTGTTCTGGGTTGCTGCAGTGAGTTTGGGCTCATTTAAATAAAGTCCTTAAACAGCTTCTCTTGTGGGAGGTGGAGTTATTGCTTTGGTAGTGGAGCATCTGGTTAGTATGGGTGGTTTTTCTGTAGACTTGCATTTCTAGTTTACCATTATGGTCTCTGCTGATCAGGATATCCAGGAAGGATAGCGAGTTGTTGTTTTCTTCTTCTCTGGTAAACTGGATTCCTTTAAAAATGTTATTGATGATTCGTGGCTGTTCTCTAATGAAATGACTCCTCATTTCAACCCTGAGCTACAATAATATTCTCCTTCATTTGGTACACTCGGGGTGCTATATATCTTTGCTCTGCTTTGACTAGCTGGCTGAATGTATGCAAGCATTTAATACTGTAACCAGTTTGCATAAACCTGACTCAAGCAGTTAGATGGTATTCTCTGACAGGAAGATTCAAAGAAAGAAACCTGTAGGAAACTTCTACAATTAGTCCTCGACTTACAGCCACTCACTTAGTGACCAAAGTTACAGTGGAACTGAAAAAAGTGCTTATGACCGTAGCAGCATCCTTAGGGTCATGGGATCAAAATTTGGATGTTTGGCAACCAATTCATATTTATGACGGTTGCATTGTCTCGGGGTCATGTGATTAACCATTGTGACCTTCTGATAAGCAAAATCAATGGGGAAGCCAGATTCATTTAACAACTGTGTTACTGACTTAACAAGTGCAGTGGTTCACTTAACAACTAAGGCAAGAAAGGTCGTAAAATGGGGTTAAACGCTCTTAACAAATGTCTTGCTTAGCAACAGAAATTTGGGGCTCAATTGTGGTCGTAAGTTGAAGACTACCTGCATTGTGGGGGAGGGAGATGTTAATACAGAATATACAGAAATTAACTAAATTCCCAACCAGACCTTCCTGACTTTAGTGGAAAGGTATTAACCACTTTTGCGGCTGTTGCTTGGCTTCAATCAGTTTGCATGAAAATTCATGGCTGCATTTCTTGTTCTAGGATTTAAGCATGGCTAAGGTGACAAAGATGACTAGTTAAGTTGGCTTCGGAGAAGAAAAAGAAAGGAGGGTATTAACTTTCCACTTGTTAATGCTAAATAATAAGGCAATAGCTTTTATAATAATATACTGTATATAAAGTGAATTGAAGTCCAAGATAGTAAAACACATGTGTGTTTCCCTTACTTCTCTTACTTCCCTCTTTGTGATGGTTCTGCTTTTCTCTGGTTATATCATCTTTGAATTTATGGAATATTTTGTTGAAAATGTTCTTGCTGATAAAAAAAAGTATGTTGGTATGCTAAGCTTATCTTTTGCTGACCTTCTATTCCTTTCTCAATTAGATAAGCAGCAACATTCACTGAACCATCTGTATGTTTTCTCCAACCTTCTAGTTCCTCTAATCTAGTCCATGAGTATAACAGAGATACTAGAGTTGTGGAAAGTCTGAATATGAATTTGAAAAACAGCATCTGAATTCTTCTACACTTTCACCTAAGTTGACCTACATATTTATTTTTATTAGCTTATAGTTTAAAATATGCAAATATAAAAACAAGTAATAGGGAACAAAGGTAAGGGGAAGGGAAAAAAAGAAGTGTGGAAGAGGAGGGAAGAAAAAAAAGGGCGTTGACTTCCGACTCCTTCTGTTGCAGTAAAATAAGGCATTAGCAGTGAACCTCAACTTTTTACTTTTCTTTAATAGTATAAACTAGCCATTTCTATAACAACAAATCAATCTGTGCCTCTCTGGAATGATATCAAAAAGGATTTACAAAGATAGGACAAATTACATTTATCAGTACTGGGTAGAATTTCTGTAATTAAGATGAATGTCTGTTTCAGACATTACCAATACTTGCAACTGATATTCCATTTAAACCAGTGGTTCTCAACCTTTTTATAGCTGCGACCCCGGTTGTAAGTAGAGGACTACCGGTATTTCCCTGCCCAAGAGCGCCGCGCATGCGTGGTGCTGGCCCCTGCGCCGGCCGAGGCATAGCTGGCAAGGGGTGGCGGCAGGCAGGCTCAGGCGGTCCCGGGAGGCCGCAGCGACGGTGCAGGGTGACCACCGGCTGGGCCACCAGCTGGCCCAGCCCAAGGCAGGTAAAGCATGCGCCGGGCCCCACGCGCGCCAGCAACCCTCCCTGTGCCCGCCACTGCCCCGCTAGCCTTACCTTGGCTGCCGCCCGTTTGGGGCGGTGGCAGACAGGCCCAGGTGCTCCTGGGCAGCCGCGGCAGCGACGGCGCAGGGCAACCACTGGCTGGGCCACCAGCTGGCCCAGCCCAAGATAAGTAAAGCACCCGCCGGACCCCATGTGCGCCAGCAACCCTCCCTGCGCCCACCGGCCTCCCACCTCCCATCCCCGGCCCTCTTTTACTTACTTTTTAGTTGCTCAGCAGGGAGGGAAGCTTTGCAGAATGTTCGCCTTGCAGCACCGTTTGCAGACTCGGGCTTTTGGCAGGCTCAGCAGGGCAGAGACAGCCTGGACAATTCCTATTGGCTTTTGAAAGCCAATAGAATTAGACTCTGTTCAAGAGAGTCGATTCTATTGGCTTTCAAAAGCCAATAGAATAAGAGGGAGTAGCACAGCTAAGGAAAAGGGGAAAAATGGCGGAAAAAATGGCGGACTGCGTTGTTTGGCGACCCCCGTGAAATGGTCGTTCGATCCCAAATGGGGTCGCGACCCACAAGTTGAGAACCACTGATTTAAACAAAGGCAGAAGAATATTTCCAAAGTAAAGTAAGTACAAATATGGGCAAGAGGATAGGAGCTGTTTTTGTTGCCTGTGATTTCAGACAACAAACATATTCAAAATTGTCATTAATAGCAAGCAAGAAGGTTTGCAAATATGGACAAGAGGATAACAGCTCTCTTTGTTCCTTATGATTTCAGACAACAAACACATCCAAAGTTGTCACTAATAGCTGAACTCTAAGCTATTCCTAGTGAACAGAGGAATTTGCAGAGGTTTGCTCTGGTATTAGTCTGCTGCAGCAAAACTACTACTACTACTACTACTATTTAAGGATTTAGCATCTTAAAAAGAAATGGATTATAGCAGTGGTGGCGCTCGTGGGCTATGCCCCGGAGATGGCAACCGTCCCTCTTCAACCAGCCGCCCGATAACTTGCCGAGGTCCCACGTGGCCAGATGCATCCCAGCACCCATGTGCTCGCTGGCTTCTGTATACGGGGGCCGATGGTGTCAGGCAGCAGCCACCATGGCCCCTGCCTCACTTTGCCCTGTGACAATGGCACCCCTGCCTTGCCTTGCCTCACCCCGCAGGACGAGCCTCCTGCCCACCACCTTACCTGCCAGAGACTCCCTGGATCTCCCCCAATCCTGCCCGGCCCCCATAGGTATCCCTCCCCACGAGCAACATCGAGGTGATCACACCCACCTTGGCCACACCCACCCAGTCTGCCATGACCACAGCCACGCCCATCCAGTGGGCCACACCCACCTGACACCCAGCGAGAAATAAGTGGGGTTTGGGTTGCAGTTTGGGCACTTGGTCTCTAAAAGGTTTGCCATCACTGGATTATAGTCTTGTATAGCATGATGTCAACGCTGTAAACATTGGATGTTCCCGCTCTGACAACTGATGAAAATTGCAGCCATTTGCTCTTTGCTTTTAATATGCTTTTTCTGGTATTTAAAAATTATGTGCAGAAGGGGGGGTTGGGATAAATGCTCAAGCTCAGCTAGCCATAATACTGCTGCTTTGTGGGAACCCAAGGACGAACTAATAACATTTTGGTGGGCTGAGGAGCAAGCCTACATTTTAGGCTAATTGGAGAATGTGATTTATGGCAGCTTATTGGGGGGTGGGAATTGCACTTTGTTACTTTGTAACCGGGGGAAGGGAATTTAGTTTTTGGGTTCAACTGTGTAGTGCCAATACTTTGTTTCCTGAATAAAATGTTCTTTAAGGAAGAATTTTTGCCTTGAAGCTCTTTTGATGGGTTTCATCTATCAGAACCATGACACATATATGCTGGAATTTTGCCAAAAACCAAGTATGGATACTGGATTCATTCTGATCTCGATCCATCTGCCTTTGGGTTGAGTGGTGTCATAAGTTGGAGTTGACAGTAAGAAAGCAGCTTTCTCTGAAAAATTCGTGTTTTCTAACTTTTATTTTTCCAAGTAAGAAGAAACAACCAGCAATGCTTATTCTACAAACTTCCCAGGTGGGTAGCTATTGCTCCCAATAATTTGTACAGATCTCCATATCCACAATATGAACTTTTTTTATCCTATTACCCCTATTCTGATCAATCATCTCTCAATTCATACACAATGCACTTCATGTTGGTTTAACAATGGATATTTGAAAACAGAGAATAGGCTGTGTGGACAGGGGAGGTCCTCCATCTTGGAGTTATTTGGTCAGCTGGATTAGGCCAATAGCAGGGACCACTTGCTAGGATTATCTTTAAGCTCTAGCCAAATAAAGTAATTACTTTATAGACCGTCACATAATAAGGATGATACAGTTGTATGTTTACCTTGGCAGAAATCAATTGCAAGTGTTGATTTCCACAATACCACTGAAAAAGAAAAACAAGGAAGTCAAGAAGAAACCAGTATGGCTACACAAAGATCTCTCTGACAAACTGAAAGACAAAAAGAACAAGTACAAAAAATGGAAAGAGGGACACATAACTAAGGCTGATTATCAGCAGTCAGCCAGAACATATAAAGATGAAATCAGGAAAGCAAAGGTTCAGAAGAATAAAAACTTGCAACAGAAATCAAGGATAACACAAAAAAATTATTTCAATATATTAATAACAGGAAAAAAGTCAATGAAACTGTAGGTCCACTAAAGAGAGAAGATGGCAAGGAAGTAACAGGCAATAGGGAGAAAGCAGAACTGCTTAACTCATTCTTTGCATCGGTCTTCACACAAAAAGAAATTATAGCCCAACATACAAAAAAAAACCTACTTCAAAAGACAAACTAGAAACAAAAATTAAAATAAGCAAGAAAAAGCAGTAACTGTGAGAAGGACCTTGGGAGTCCTAGTGGATGATCACCTGAATATGAGCCAGCAGTGTGCAGCAGCAGCCAAAAAAGCTAATATAATCCTGGTTGCATAAACAGAGACACATCAAAATCATGCAAAATATTAGTACCACTATATAAAACCCTAGTAAGACCACACCTGGAATATTACAACCAATTTTGGTCACCATACTACAAAAAAGATGTTGAGATCTTGGAAAAAGTTCAGGGAAGAGCAACTAACATGACCAAAGGCTGGAGACTAAAACATATGAAGAACGGTTGCAGGACTTGGGTCTGGCTAATCTAAAGAAAAGAAGAAATGGGGGTGACATGATAGCAGTATTCCAGTATCTGAGGGGCTGCCGCAAAGAAGAGGGGTTCAAATTATTCTCCAAAACACCAGAGGGTAGGACAAGAAACAATGATTGGAAACTGATCAAAGAGAGAAACAACCTGGAATGAAGGTGAGGACAATTAACCAGTGGAACAGCTTGCCTCCAGAAATCGTGGGCGCTCCCATCACTGGAGGTTTTTAAGAAGAGGCTAGACAATCACTTATCTGAGACAGTAAAGGTTCTCCTGCTTGAGCAGGTGGCTGGACTAGAAGATCTCCAAGGTCCCTTCCAGTTCTATTCTCTATACTGTCATAACTTATGACATAGTTTATGTTTGAAGTAGTATATTGGAAAAATGCAAGAAAACACAGCAATGGGGATCCAGATGTTAAGTATTCTGGACCCCTTAAGCCTGACTGAAGGAAGTCTTTACAAGCTAACCTGAAGAAGCAGACTAAAGATATGCACCAGAGAAGATAGGACACCACTGACAAAGAATACTTTTTTGAATATGTAGTTTCCAGGAATATGAAAGCAGACAAAGCTCGTAGTTTCATCCTCAAGACCTTTATTTGCATGGCAACCTTTTGGAATTTAGTCAGATTTCCTTCCCTCTCCGGAGAGTTTCCTAGAGTCGTTGACGCGGCCTTGTGAGATCCAAACTATTCGCCCCCCATCCCGGGTCCTCTTGTTGTTTTCCAGCGCCCAAATACAAAGACCCTGGGACTTTAAAGGGAAGAAAGGGGGTGAAAAATGGTGCCTTTGTAACCAGGCGATTGGTTGGCTGCAGAGGACGGACGCGGGGAGGGGTTATTTAATCTGATGTCACAAGCCTACAAGTGGGGGAATGGGTTATTTATAGAGGCGGAGAGCAGCGGTGCGGACGCTCGGTGAGTGGCGGGGCGAAGGGCGCTCGGGGGCGGCCTTCAGAGGTGGGGGAGGGGGGTTGTAACTCCGGCAGTCGAAACCGCGTCTTTCCCAGCAAGCCGCGGTAGCGGCGCTGTTGATTTAACCGCTTCATACCTTCCGGGTATTGTTTTAGCATCCCACTTGACTGATTTATTCGTCGCCCTTCGCATCCTCCTTGATCGTCCCCGGGCAAAAAGCAGAAAAGACAACCAGAGAAAGCGATGGATCCGTGTCACACCGAGGAGACTGGCCCAGAAATCCCTGGCCTTGGTGAGAGGGCGCCGCTGAGCGGAGGGAGGGATCTGCGGCCTAGCGACGGTTGAGGCCGTTGCTGCGGGTTTTCGTGCGTTGGCGCAGATCGGGAAGGGGGAGGGGCCTCGGTTCACAGACTTCGGGCCGATGTCTCATTTCCCCAAACACGGCCGGCGAAAGGGATTCCCTTCTCGCGTCGGTGGATTGTCCCGCGTGGCTTTTTAAAGAAAGCGTGGGGGGGCACCCCCCATTCTGAGCGCCTACACCTCCCCCGCCCTTTCTTTTGACCACGTCCTGCCTCCGCCATTGTCGTGGGTGTTTCCTCGAGGCGCGCTGCGGTCTCGACTGGCAGGCTGCAGGGAGGAAATGGCTAGGGGTTGATTCGGCCTTCTGTTCCCTACCACACTGTTGTGAAAAGAGGGAGGTAAAGGATCTCTGCACGGAAGGAAGATCCGCAATGGTTGTTGGGTTGGAAATCCCCAAAATGGAAGGGAGCGGGACACGTGACCGACGTCAATAACAAAACGGAGCGAACGGATCTCGCTCTGGTCCACCTTCGCCCCATTGCGCAATATTATGCAGCTTGGTCGAGCTCTGTTTTGAGCGACCTTCTCATGTATCGCTCAAAGAAACGAAAGCTTCTGCTCCTCCCCACGAAGTGCCTTTAGAGTAATAGGCCCTGCAATGGTAGTAGTGGCCTAGAGCAGGGGTAGGCAACCTCGGCTCTTTTATGACCGAGGTTGCCTATCCCTGGCCTAGAGTACAGACGGAAATCATGAGACTCCCTCATAAGCAACGCTCCGCCAGACCGGACTCTTGACCTATCTAGTCCAGTGGTCTCCTCTCACATGACCAACCAGCTGCATAAGGAAGCCCACTAGTTTCCCACCAGATGGTCTTCAGAGCAACCACATTGCCATTAAAGCTAATAGTGTGTTGTGGAAAATTAATGTCATGAAGAGGTCCTTTATTTTCAAGCTCCTCAGTTGAAAACATTTAAATCGAGCAGGAGTGGGGGATTATGGCCCTTTTATGACTTGTGGACTTCAATTCCCCGAATTCCAGAGCCAACATGGCTGGCTCAGGAATTCTGGGAGTTGAAGTCCATAAATCATAAAAGGGCCATAGTTCCCGGCCTCTGAACTAGAGCTTGATTCTATTTACAGTAATCAACATTTATCAAATTCTAAATGAGAATTACAATACTTCAACTGCTAATTAATTCTAGTCTTTACTATTTTAAGTCTGTAAAGTATGTCTTTGCTTGAAAGTACTATGAAGTGCAGTTTTTGTGTAATTTAACAAGCTTCCTTAATGTATCTCTGAAAGTTTCCATCCTCTTAAAGATTAAGAATGCTGCAGTGGAAGCTGAAAGTGTATTATTCAGCTACTTGAAGATCTGTGCTGGCCTTTTACAATTTAGTTAGTGCAGTGAGTTGCCAGTAATCAGTGGTAAGACTCTCTGAGAAGTTAGGATTTTAACTTTGGTTCTTTATATAAAATCACAGGAGCCTGGTTTGGGCATAACATTAAACTTTAATGGACAGGTACATGTGTTGTAAATCAACAATAAACCACAATTGTTACTGGTGAACAAATTATGAATTTAGATTAAATATGCTTTAATAGTATACTGAATTAGTACAGTTTTTCTTCTTTGTCTTCCTCAACACTACCCATTAATAGATAAAATGTATATAGAATGAATATGGCTGACAGCATACTTGTCACATTAATTTCAAAACAAATTTGAGATTGACCCTAATGAAAATGGTAAAGTGATGTACCTAACAAATCTTTATTGAAATTAAAGTACATATAAAATGGTAATAATTGGATTTCTTCACTGAAAACATTGTGCAACAGTCTCCTCTTTGCATGTTAAAATCTATTAGTTTGAGTTGTTTGTGCTCATTAGATAAATAATAGTTTTCTTAGTGTCCACACTAAACAATATCTTCATTTGCTAAGCAGTCAAAAAAGCTTTGATCTGTGAAAACAAAAGGTACTCAGACAAGATATTGAAGCTTATTAATGGGAATATTGAGGGTAGAATTGTGTTTGTGTATTCAGTAGCCAGTTGAAAATTGGTTTGATTTTGCCAGATAAGGGAATCTATTCCAGAGTGTCCTCTGCCCTCATTAGTTGGTTAACTGGTCTCATATTTTAATAAGCATGCTTTTGTTATATTTTTGTGCTACATCCACAAGAGAAGTAGAAAATACTGTTCTTAAATTTTCAGTAAAAGCTTACCGTATATGCCGACGTATTAGGCGACCCGGCGTATAAGATGACCCCCGTCTTTATCGCCGAGTCGCCTTCCTAGAACGTCGTCTTATACATCGGAAACTACCAGTATTTCCGGCGTATAAGACGACTCGGTGTATAAGACGACCCCCGTCTTTGGTGCCGAGTTTAGCGCTTCCGGAAGTTGTCTTATACGCCGGCATATAAGGTAATTAAATTTGCTAATACATCTCTATGTAAAAGACAACTCTGTTATAGAAGACATAAGATGGTTCCCTCCACTTTGGTCTTGTAAGCATTAGCCAACATTGCAAATTGCATGGAATTCCTAAAAACTCCTCGAAAATATCTGTTGGTCATATAGATACATTTATAAATAACTCTATTTAAATGGAGATAGTGGGCAAGGTACTGATATGAAAATTTGGAATATAATTAAAATATAGTGCAGATTGTAAACAGAAGACTTTGTTAATAATGCTATAAAAATGAAAAAGATGGAGTGCCTTGAGATATTTGAAAATTCTTTGGCCACAAAATATAAAGTGGTTTATTACGGTGATTCGTGCAACTTACTGCTCCAAAATGAGATGTATTTTAACACGGCATGATATACAAACCTATCCCAAGAACAGGTACATACTACAAAGTTATGAATTGAGCCTCTTGTAATGAGTTTAAAAATGGCAGTGTAAATTAAGGAGAAATAATGTTTACTTGTTCTAATAGGTATTGTTTTATTGCATCATTTCTGAAATTTTCATTAACACCTAAGACCAAAATGGCTGTTTTTCAGTTTGTCAGAATCCATTCTGCAAAAGAAAATTAGATTGTATTTCACCTGGAGTTCAATTACATTTTTTCCAATAATAATTAGTATTGCACTGTCTCAGATGAGTATGTTAGTGCAGGGGTCCCCAACCCCCGGTCCGTGGCATGTCAGCAACTGATCTGCACAAACAAGCAAAGCCCCATCCTCGAGATGCACGCAGCACACAAAACCACGCACCCTCTGGTCCGCGGAAAACCTCTCCATGGAACTGGTCCCTCGTGCCTAAAAGGTTGGGGACCTCTGTTAGTGCATTTTTCATGTCTTGAATGTAGTAGTAGTACTTATTTCAGTTTCATAATGGAATTTTGCTCAGAATCCTTTTAACTATAAAATGTTTTACTACATATTACTCTCATTCTCTGTAAATATTCATGAAATTCTTAGTTTTCAGAAACTTACATTCAAAAAACTAGAAAATATTTTTTCTGTCTGTATTTTACTTTTGCTCTTAAAACTATCATAGCCTTGAAGAGTTTTACATACACTGAACTTTGAAGTTTGATTAAAATTCAACCAGACATTGTTAAGATCTCCTGTTACAAACCACTGAATGCATCTGCTCCCGAATCTTTAAAGATTCATGAGTATATAAGCATTTATGGCACTGTAATATATAATTTATATTCCTTAGAAAGTGGCATTAAGGAGATCTTAAACTTGGATATGTAATATTCAAATACATGATTATATTCTTCTCTGAAGGATTTTTTAATTTATTTTAGCATTAAAAAAAGCGTCTAAGTAGCAAGAGATATATATACCTCATTGTTGTCTCAAAGGCAGATTTCATGTAAAGGTTTTCCAGATATTCCAATTGAATTTTTTCTTCTCACCCTTTATGCTATAGTGACTTCATGCATTTTTATATTTTAAAAATAGGGAATAGAAAATATACTAAATGTTTTGCAAATGCTTTCAGGTGCAGCTAATAGGTTTTCTTACATTTTATATATTTCTACTTATGTAGAGCCTAATATAAAGCATGTACCTTTGAAAATAGGACCTAATTGAATTATGGATAAATTTGCTTAAGTACAGATTAAGATTGCAGCCTTAATACTTTATCAGTGAATAGATTGCAGATTCTTGGCATATAATGTATCTACTAAGGATAATATAAATTTCAAACTAGGCTAAGTATTGAAATTTCCATTTTAATAGCAGTATTTTACTTTCAATGTTTAAATCACCATGAGAATGTCTATGGAGAGTCTTCCAGGTCATAGTTTTCCCAAAGGTGCTTTTTCAGGAGGCAAGTGGACTTGTTTTTGTTTTCGTCGTTTTGGTTTTCTTTGAAGACATTTTGCTTCTAATCCAAGAAGCTTCTTCAATTCTGACTGGATGGTGGGGATGAGTCTGTGTTGTCTGCATCTCAAACTGAAGGGCAAATGGTTCTTGTAGCTTGCAATGTTTTCTGGAAATCCGTTCATACTCCTGCACCATAAGAAGGTTATTCATGCCAAAGTGCATAGCTAAATGTCTGTGGAGATTCTGTCATCAAGGTCATGGTTGTCCCAAACGTGCTTTTTCAAAGGTGAACATCCTTCGAATGGTACGGGAATATGAAAGGATTTCCAGAAAAATTGCAGACTATAGGAACCATTTGCTCTTCAGTTTGAGATGCAGACAACACAGACTCATCTCCAACAGCCTGTGCCTGTCTTCAACAGTGAAGGGACCCAGGGCAGAAAACCACCTGCAGCCAAGAAGGCTCCACACACATTTGCACTACTCAGGTGATCCTGAGGACACATATAAACCTCCAAATGGCCTCACCAACTCTCTAAAAGAAGGCAAATGACCAGCTGTCTGCAAGGAATATAAACCCTTCCATTCCCCACCATCCAGTCAGAGCTGAAGAAGCTTCTTGGAAGAGAAGCAAAGTCTTAAAAAAAAAAGTCCAGTTGCCTCCTGAAAAAGTTGTTAGAGAATTTTAATTTCTCTGTTGATGAAAATAAATCAGAAGCTCTCACAGTTGACTGCTTTTAGCTGATTCAAAACAACCTTTTTATATTCATATCAAAATATTTACAATACCATACATTCTTCTTTACAGCAACATAGCTCAATGAAGACCTCTTACAGAGAGATACAGAGACAAACCTGAGACTGAAAATTCAGCTTCTAACTCAATATCTTTTGCTCAGTAGCACTTTCTTCACATTGGCTGACTGAGTTACCACATGACTCTTCTTGCTCATGAATATTCCAACACTCCTCCCTTCATGACAGGAAGAGACATCAGACCTATTGACTTAATACATTCTCCATAGTGAACACTACCCAATGGTTTAGTCATCATGTCTGCCAAATTATCCTCAGAAGAACAATGATGTAAACTAATCAATTTTCCTTTTACAGCTTCCCTGACATTACAGTACTTAATGTCTACATGTTTACTTCTGTTCTTCACTCTGTCACCAGTTGCCATTTTTATACAGGCAGCATTGTCTTCAAATACCTTTACAGATTCTTTTACATTAATATTTAAATCTTGCAACAACTGTACATACCATGTTACTTCAGAACACAATTCAGATAAAGCAATAAACTCTGCTTCCGCTGTTGAAATAGCAACAGTTGTTTGTTTTCTGGACTTCCATCCAATCAGAGTCCCTCCAAACAATATTATAGTCCCAGAATTTGATTTCCTTGTGTTTATGTCATTTGCATAGTCACTATCGACATAACACTTTAATCTCAATTCCTCAGTAATCTGTATTTGAAGACCCAAATTTATGGTCCCCTTTAAATATCTGAGAACCCTTTTTTACACCCATCCAATGTAACTTTGTAGGTGCAGCAGTAAAATGACTCAAAATGCTTACTGCGCAAGCTATGTCTGGTCTGGACCATTATGATAGATATAACAAACTCCCTATTGCTGAGTGATATATCTCTTGATCACAGGTTTCACCTTTGTCCGCACTTAAACTTATAAAAATCCGTACTCATGGGTGTGGGAGCAGTATTGCAATCTTTCATATTATATTTCTCTAATAACTGCTCAATTTTTCTCCTTTGACTGAGAATATAAGCACCTTTTTCATTTTTCTGTATCTCTACACCGAGATAATTTTTTATTTTTCCCAAATTCTTTAATTCAAATTTCTTTCCTAATTTATCAGCAAATTCCTTGACTTGTGATGCATCCTTTGCGATGAAGCAAAGATCATCCACAAATGATAACAGACAATTCCCTCTTTGTAACTGTCCAGTATATATACAATTATCAGCTTTGCAACTTTTAAATCCAAGATCCTTTAAAGCAGTATCTAAACAGATATTCCAGTTTCTGGCTGACTGCTTCAGCCCATAAATAGCCTTGTTTAATTTATACACTATGTTTGGTTTTGCAATTTCATATCCTGGTGCTTGGATCATATAAATTTCTTCCTCTAACTCAGCATTGAGGAATGCAGTTGTGATATCAAAGTGCCAGATTTTATGCTTATATGCCGCTGCCAACGCCAGTGCTTATCTTATACTCTCACTTTTCACAGTTGGCACAAATACTTCATCGTAGTACACATTCTTTAATTGTGAAAAACCTTGTGCCACTAACCTGGCCTTATACTGTACATTATTATTTGGCAATACCTTTTTCTTATATACCCACTTACAACCCACAGCTTTGGTTCCCTGTGGCAAAGTCACTGATTTAAATACTTCATGGTCTCCCATGGATTTCATCTGTTTATCCATGGCCTCCTTCCATCTTTCTTGTTCAGCTTTTGGTAATGCCAATACCTCTTTATAACTTCTTGGCTCATACCACACATTGCAAACCTTTACCTTGCTGGCAGAATACCTGTCAGGCAGGATTCCTTTGTTACATCGCTCTGACCTACGTGGTAATAACTGCACCTGTGTCTCAAGTCTATCTGGCTTCATGTCTTGTTCAGCCTCTCCTCCCTGAACATTGACATCTTCAATAATCATTTTTCCATCATCAGATGAGTTGTCATTAAATAGATCACCGTCATTAAGTGAGACATACCCAGAATTTGCATTAATTCTGTCCCAATTTTATTCTGCAAAGTTAGCAGACCTTGAAATTACAATTCTTTTACTTCCATCGCTAAAGCGATATCCTTTTGAACCTGGCTCATAGCCCACAAACCTGAGCTTTCTTGCCTTTTGCTGTCCCTTTCTTCTGATTGCTTTCAGAATACGTACCCATGCAGTACTTCCAAAAATTCTCAAATGTGCCAGTGATGGCTTTCTCCCATATAGAATGGCATATGGAGTATTATTAATGGAGGAACTCCACAGCCTGTTAACTATATAATTGGTAGTCAATATGGCTTCTCCCCAATGACCTGCTCATACCAGAATCTTCTAATAATGAATCTTTCATTGTTTGTAAAACACCATTCCTTCTTTCAGCTACACCGTTCTCTGCTGCTGTGTAAGGATTTGTACGTCTGTGTCTTATCCCCAACTGCCCCAACCATTGTTGGAATTTAGTTGACATAAATTCATTACCTGTCAGTTTGCAACTGACACACTTGTTGTCTGTACCTTCTCTCTACAAAACTTACCCACTGTTTGAATTGTTGTAGCACCTGTCTTACCTCTAAGCAAGTAGCAAAATGAATACCTGCTATAATCATCAACAATTACCAGTGCATATTTTGCTCCTCCCAAACTGGCTTGCATAGGTCCCACCAGATCTGCATGGACTAGCTCTAGAGGTCTTTTAATGTTTGTCTTGTGCTATATTTACTAACTGGGAATGCCTTTGATTTCGATGCTTTGCATACTGCACAGTCCAAATATGTTTTGCATCCCTTCAAATTTAGCCCATCTGCAAACTCTTGCATTTGCTGCAAAACTTTAAAGCTTGCATGGCCAAGTCTTCTATGTAGAAGGTGAACACACGAATCATGCTGTGCAACATTCTTAAATATATGGGAACATTGAACCTTTTGTCCCTGCAATACATATAGATTATCTTCCTTTATGCCTTCTGCACAAATATTCCCATTCCTTTTGATGAGACACTTCCATTTACAAAAATGATCTCAAAACCTTGTTTGTCTAAATTAGACACATTTAACAAATTATGTTCCATCTCAGGTACACAAAGCACATTGTTAAACATTGATTCCAAATATATGGAATTTTTACATCGCCTTTTTCGATGACTTTTGCTTTCTGTCCATTTGCCAAAGCCACAGTTTCTTGTGCTACTGGAATAAACCTGCAAAATAATTCAGAGTAATTAACAGTTGTTTGACTTGCTCCACTATCTATTAGCCACTTGTCTCTGTTGTTCCTATAACAAACTTTTGCAACACCAAAATGTTCCTTTTGGAAATCAGTCTTTTTTGCTTGTACAAATGTCCTTTGCTGCAAATTGTTCCTCTGCAAACAGTTCCTTTTCAGATGTATGTTTGCTCCACAAATGTAGCAATTTTTTTCTTGCTTAGCTCTCTGCTTGTAAAATCTCTCTTTTGATGCAACTTGGTCCCATCTGCTTGTTTCTTCTCCAGAGACTTGCAGTCTGGACCCCCCTCTTCAGGAATTTCACCTCCTCCTGGCTGTTCCTAAAATGTTGCTTTTCTTCTTCATTAAGCAAACATGCCTTTAAAGCCTCAAAATTTAATTCTTGCTCTTCTTTACACTCAGATATCGCAGAAACTGTGTCCCAGGTTTTATCTAAATTGTTCAACACCAGTGAAACCTTCTGGGACTCAGGGAATTTAATCCCACGTTGTTCTAAGTCCAAAAATAAACTTTGCATTTTATTTAAATGCTGTTCCACAGATTCACCTGATTGCAAACAGGCCCTGTAAAGTTTTCTTGACAATTGCAATATATTGCATGCAGAAACATTCACGTGCACAGCTCTCAACTTCAACCAAATCTCCTCTGCAGTCTTTAAATTTGCAACATTTAGAAATTGTTCATCTAAATTCAAGATGAGATAAGCCATTGCTCGATCATGACTTTTCTGATCAGCAGCTGCAAACACGTGTGGTGGATTTTCTACATATACCACAGCTCTTTTGCTTTGAGCAAAGGTTCCATTTTTGCAGACCATATAATGTAATTCTTCTGGCCTAAACGAGGCACAGAGCTTTCCTTAAATTCCATTGCAGCCATTCTGCTAATTCTGCCTTATTTTTATACTTTCTAAACACAGGCAATTTCCTCCAGCTTTAAATTACAATGCAGTCCTTAGTAAGCTCTGGACCCATAACCTGTTAGAGAATTTTAATTTCTCTGTTGGTAAAAATAAATCAGAAGCTCTCACAGTTGACTGCATTTAGCTGATTCAAAATAACCTTTTTATATTTATATCAAAATATTTACAATACCATACATTCTTCTTTACAGCAACATAGCTCAATGAAGACCTCTTACAGAGAGATAGAGACAAACCTGAGACTGAAAATTCAGCTTCTAACTCAATACCTTTTGCACAGACTCAGTAGCACTTTCTTCACATTGGCTGACTGAGTTACCACATGACTCTTCCTGCTCATGAATATTCCAACAAAAGCACTTTTGGGTCAACATCAGAATCTCTTTAACTGAATCTCCATTGTTGTTTCCTGGCAACAGTGAGTGCATATATGGAATCTTGAGATCAGAACAACCAAAAGACTTGAATCTAGGGTTTAGACTTGTCAGGACTCCAATTACTGTAAGCAACAATCAATTTTGTGCATGTATATCTAAAATTAAGATATTCCCTAAATGTGTATCAATTGAATTAAGAAAATATGTAGTTGTAGCAAGATGGTGATTTATTTATAGGTCACTTGGGCTCTTATGAAAAGCAAGATACAATCTCAAATCTGTAAAGGTTATCACCAAATGATAATTTAATATGATAAAGGGGAAACAAATACTTGACTATGGAGTACATATTTTAAGTTACATATGTATCCTGCCCCCCTTCCAGACAACTTTTAAAAATTGGAAGATAGTTATGACCTATAAACAACACAGGTAGATATAGCAGGTGGTGAAATCAAAATTTGCAATGCATATATTCAATGATTTTGTTTTTTGGTTAATCCATCTTGGAATCCTAACAAAGTTAGGATCATATATTCTCTCAATCTAGATGCAGAAGTGGCTGCATCTAGATCAGTGGTTCTCAACCTGTGGGTCTGGACCCCATTTGGGGTCGAATGACCATTTCACGGGGGTCGCCAAACCACGCTGTCCGCCATTTTTTCCCTTTTCCCTAGCTGTCCTACTCCCTCTTATTGGTGGCCACACCCACTTGGGGGTCACCACAACATGGGGAACTGTATTATGGGGTCACGGCATTAGAAAGGTTGAGAACCACTGATCTAGATTGAGAAAATATATGATCCTAACTTTGTGCCTCAATGGGACTTCAATCAGTATATATATCCTGGTTTGCATATAGTTTTGAAAGCTCTAACTTCAAGAGCCTGCAGGAAGAAGTCTGAAATTTTCAAGTTTGTTTAAATCTTTCAGTAGTCATCTGATTATAGTCTATATATGATCTACATATTATGGCTGTAATCTCAATTTGATATCGGTAATATATTTAAAATCATAACCAGTTTTGGCAGAAGGAAACATCTCAGGAGTTGTATGGAGACAGATAATTCCCTCTAGTGCTAGTCAGACTCAAACTGTTTCAACCAGGCATGCCAGTCCTGATAAATTGCCCACTGTTTCAGTGATGTCTCCTGATTGAAATGAGTTAGAAGCAAACACATACCTAAAATAAAATAGATATAAGTATATATTATAATATTAAAGTATACTTTTGAGATTTCTCCGTGTCAAGTCACATAAAAGATTGGTCTAGTGGTTAAGGCACCAGGCTAGAAAGCAGGAGGTTGAGTTCAAATAAAGCTTTAGCCATGAAAGCCAGCTGGGTGACTTTAGGTCAGTCAGTCTCTCGGCCCAACTACCTCACAGGATGGTTATTATGAGGAAAATAGGAGGAGGAAGATGTGTTGTGGATATATTAGCTGCTTTGAGTTATTTATGAAAATAAAGGTGAGAAATAATTCTGCTGAAGATCATGCTTGCTGAACCAATCCTTCTAGATGGATTGGACTTCATGCTGGTATTTAGTAAAACTATTTCTTGAAGTAGAGAGTCAGTTTGGTGTAATGGTTAAGGCACCAGACTAGAAACAGGGAGACCATAATTCTAATCCCGCCTTGGGCACAGAGTCAGCTGGGTGATCTTGGATCAGTTAGTCCCTCTCACCTCTAGGAAGGAGTCAATGGAAAATCACTTTTGAAAAACCTTACCAAGAAAACTGCAGGAACTTGCAAACATACATATAGCCCAACTAAAACCTGTTTCTGCTAAGTTATATGCAGCAAAATATCCAGTGCAATGTTAAGGTGCTACATAAAATTACTCAAATTATTGTATCTATAGACTTGGGCAATTCATATGTGTCAATGTCTAATCCTGAAATAATTCATGTTGGTTTGAATTTTAGGAACTGATCTTTAGTCCCATTCTCTCTCCAAACTTTCTTGATACTCAACTTCAGATGTTTGAATGTTCTACCACTTAGCAACTGGTACAGAAATTATTTTCCATTCATCATAACTTTTTACTAAGTGGACGTAGTCCCAAAGGTGCTTTTTCTTAGATGAGAAGCGAAAAGTCTTCAAGGAAAAACAAAGATCCAGTTGCCTTTTGAAAAAGCACTTTGGGACAACTATGACCTGGATGACTGAGAATCTCCTTAGACACAGAACTATGGAGAACTGTAGATTTCCTTGCAGCTGTGAAAAAGGTTGTCATTTATATTTGGCAATAAATGTAATAGGATTTTCTGCTACATGACTGTCTTCTAAAAATCTGAGTCTTGAAAATTGCTAAGATTGAAATTAAAATTGGCAACGAGAGCAGTTTCCAAGAGGTTAATACTATAATTGCAATAGTTGGGGTGGAAGACATGACAAGAATTCAAGGTTTTTCTGATCCAAATACATTTTAATAATGCCTATCCTTGCACTTAGTGATGTCGATGGATAAAAGTATGGGCATTTCCAATATAAAAAACCTTTGGAAATACATTTAAATTTTTCCTTGTTTTTTTTTTAACTAAGTAAATTTGTGACCTATTAATTAGAAAATATTAAAAAAACGCTTAAGTCCACCAAAACTGAGCTTTTGGTCGTGGTAAAGTGGGGAAGAATTGTGATGCTCAATCAACAGAGATGAATGGCTCTCAAGCAGAAATATTTCTTGGACCCCATGTTGCAGGACTAGCTGAGCAGGACTTCATTTGCAGGATTAGCTGAATAAGTACTATGTTGCTGCTTGGCCTGGATAATAACTGCTATTATAAGGCGCGAAGCTACTTACATATATTTCATTCAATCGAGGGTTTTTGAAAGCTGAAGTTCAGTGAGTTAGGATTCGGGCAGTGTGGTTTGGCGGGAGTATACACAATCACGTTTTTTGGTCCGCTGAACGCCGCTGAACGGAACCGCGATGAGTTTCTCCCGCGCCTTCACCCCTTCAAGAATCGGCCAATCCATAACGACGCAGCCAATCCTTCCTCTTGTTTTGGCTACAGAGAACTCTTTGCCTTCTTTTCCCGCTTACTAACGTCTACCCGTCACCGGAACTTAGATGCGGATTTGAGTAAACTTCCAAGTCGCCGCCCATTTCTCGAAGTGTAGTTTTATAGAGCCGCCATTTTTTTCTCGTTTTTATACTTTCTCAATTTTTTTTCTCTGGAGGATAAAAAAAATCTTAAGTTTTCTATATACGGGATAAAAGTGCTGTTCTGAGTTTTGAGCGCAGTGTTAAAGGTACCTGAAAGTCTTAAATTTGTTGCGTGTGCTTAATAGATCCGTTCGGTATTTTTAGTTGTATGTGAATGTAGTTGCGAAGTCTCGAGATCTGATAATTTCCTATTCTGAGAAGTTAGCGATTGGCCCAAGTGTGCTAAAACTTGCTTTAAGCGGAGGTTAGAATAAAAAGGTAAATGCAGCTTTGATGAAAGGCTATGGATGCGTTTGTCTGAACAGCAGAGAGTACCCAAAAATGAGTTTTGCGACAGGAAAAAACCTGGCGGGCTTTGTCTTCAAGAGCTGAGCGAGTGGTTTTCCCTGTCTAGCAGGCTGCACGCAGTGGGAGCGATGATATGATTGCAGGATCAAATATATGCTACAATAAGGAGAAGTAACTGTAGTTTAATTCCGGGAAGCTTTATTTCGAATTATATTCAGCAGGGCCTTCTTTCTCAAGTAAAACCGACTTCAGATTTGTGCTGTAGAGGTTAGGGTGGGGCTTAAAGATGGAAGGGGGGAAGGGAAGAAACAATCTTCAGGACGCATGCGCACTATGGGTGGTAATGTACGCGCGTGCGTTTTGGGCTCCATTTTCAGCCACGCCGCGGCCGACTTAGAAGAAGGTGAGCTTACTTTTAGTTTAGTTATTGGTTGGTCGCAGACTAGTTCGAAGGACTTCTGAATTTGGGATTCATCTCTTCAGCCGGTTGTTCTCTTCAGGTTACTAGCAGCAGTCGAAGCGCGTTTTTTGAGGTGAAAGCGGCACTAGGGCCTGGCCGAGCGGAAACGCATTACTCGTTCGCCGCCATTTCCTAAGAACGCAGCGCGTACCGCTACAGCCTCCCGGCTTTCTGTGTTTGGAGAGGTGAAGTGACAATTCAAACCGTCTCCAGTGTCCTGGACGAGGATATCGGTCGCCATGTGTACGTGGGGTAGGCATTGGAAAAGCGGAGATGGGCAAACGCGAAGTCTGGAGGGGGGGCGTTATAATGGGCCGGGTTGCGAAATTTCTACCCCATTCAGTGTGGCGACGTTTTTGTCTGCCCGTAGCAACAGAAGGCGAAACTGAGACCACACTCGCTTCTAGCATGATGTTGAACACGGAAGGCGGTGAGGGTTATGTCGTAAAAGTGCGCGGATTGCCCTGGTCCTGCTCTGCAGATGAAGTGCAAAGATTTTTCTCTGGTAAGTTTTTCTGTCTCTCCCTCTGGCTAAACCGTACAATAAAGCTTCCCTTTTCCCGCCGCAGCTTGATATTTCCGGGTGCGAGTTTTATGTGTTCTCCTTTTCAGATGCTGTAAAATGTGAAGTATTCCTTTTTTTATATCGCATTATGTTGGGTGACATTATTTTAGGGAATAATAAGAGTCTGGTGGGTTCTAAGTATATACCTCCATTGGTGAGAAGGGAATTCCCGTTTCAAGAATATAGACTTATTTGATAGCAACGTACTTTGTGATAATATCTTGCTAATTAGAATCTCCTTTCCCCCTTAGATTGTTAATTTCTGTTCTGTATGTAGCCTATAATATATACTGGAAGTGGTATTTTTTCCCCTTCCTGTTCCAGAATTACTTGAAATTATTTTTTTGCTTTTTTTCTTTCTATGGTTTGGATAATAGCCTTAAGCATTGTTGTATGCATTTGACTTTTGCTAGAAGTCTGCTTGTGTGTTTAACTTATTCCACTTTTTCTTAGAATGCAAAATATTAAATGGATCTTCAGGGGTCCGTTTTATCTACACAAGAGAAGGAAGACCAAGTGGAGAAGCATTTGTTGAATTGGAAACGGAAGAAGATGTGAAATTGGCATTGAAAAAAGACAGAGAAACAATGGGACACAGATATGTTGAAGGTTTGGATTAAATTGACATAGTAACTGATGACTTATTTTGGGTGGAATTTAGATGCATGAGTATTTTTATGTGTTTATAAATGTGATCCTGTTCTCCAAATGATTGTCGTGCATTAGCATTTTGTGCCAGATTCCAGAATTCATTAATTCTAAGTGCCTCTTGCAGTCTTCAAGTCAAACAACGTTGAAATGGATTGGGTTCTGAAGCATACTGGTCCTAACAGCCCTGATACTGCTAATGATGGTTTTGTACGTCTTAGAGGACTTCCATTTGGTTGTAGCAAAGAAGAAATTGTTCAGTTTTTCTCAGGTATGTGGGGTATAAGTCCTAGCTGTAAGTATGGGTAAAAGATTACAATTAAGTGGCTCTGAAATAATGCCAAGTAATTAGTAATAAAGCAAGCCATGACCATGCTTAAACTTGTAATATTGAATGGTTTTTCCTTTTAATGTTCAAAAAGGACAAACTTGAACTATAATTTGAAATATTTACTAAAACTTAGTTCTTGTTTGATGTTGATAGACTGGAGGGAAAATTATTTTAATTGTTCCATTCCACTAAGGCAAATGTTCTAAATTTTTTTTTTGAAATTGACCTGAATCTCTAGTTAATTAAAATAATTTAAATTGTTGATTTTTAAATTGGCTGAAAGAGTGGAAAACGTTTTAATGCCCAAGTTTGTATGTTAATATATCAGAATATCAAGGAATATTGAACATTTTTCAGAAGTTTTAATCAGGTGAAGTGTTTACAATGTGGGAGGTTGGGAGATGGGTGGAGAAGTGAGAAGACAATATGTAGTGTAAACATTTGTATTAAATTTTTTGATATGGTAATCTCTGCTATGTGCTAAAGATTGTATTACTTTGCAGAGCTGAGTACTTTGAAATATTTTAATTTTGATACAGATTTTGTTTACATTTATCTACTTTAAAATAAATAGAACATTTTCTCTGACATTAAATATCAATACATAAAATTATTTTTTCTATGTTTATGAAAAGGACTGGTTTCATGTTTTGCAATGTCTTTATAGTTGTATAAAATTGACTTATAGCAAAAATTAAAACAAATATAAAAATAAGCTTTACATTTAAATGTTCTAAATGTACTCAGTAGTCCAAAGAATCTTAAATGTATTTCTGAAATATGAGATCAACTTGCATTAACTTCAATTTTTATTGAAAAATGTCTCCTTAAGATCTTCCTACAAACCTTAAATGTTTACATTTTTAGTTACTTGAAATATACAAATTGTCATTTTAGAACTGTGTAATATTTTGCATAGATATCTTTGAAATCTTATGATGTGTTCTTTGTAGAATTATTCTTGTTGTATTTTAATTTTAATTGAAAAATTGAATTTGTTTATATAAAAATGGATTATATATTGCTTTTCTTAGCATATCCTGTGTTAATTTGAAAGAGTATTGTTATTAAAGCTGCAGAAATGTGGCTGTATGCAAGCAGGATAAGTTAAGAATCTCGTATTTGCTGCATTTATATTGACATGTTTCTGTTATAGAGTTAATAGTACGGTATACTGATTCTAAATATAAAGTATAAATTCTGGTATATTTTTTAAAGCTATAAGAAAATCATGATTGGGCTTGTGATGTTAATATTACCCCCTACTGGGGTTATTTGTCCTTGGGTTGAAGGGTTGGAAATCGTGCCAAATGGGATAACATTGCCGGTGGACTTCCAGGGGAGGAGTACGGGGGAGGCCTTCGTGCAGTTTGCTTCACAGGAAATAGCTGAAAAGGCTCTAAAGAAACACAAGGAAAGAATAGGGCACAGGTGGGGATGGATGGTTGGTTGGATATGTCGCTCTTCTTATGGTAAACTGTTGTTAAATCCATATTCTCTCTTCTTAAGTGCTCACTTTACAATATACACTTTCATATTCTAACACCTCCTTTGTTTTCATAAATGTTACTTTCTTTTAATTCATGTGCAGACTGGCTGATGTGCTTGTTTTGCTCTTCCCTATTTCACATTACCTTGTTAATTCTGATTTAGTTTAAAGTTATTTACGGAAGTTGAGAGATTATGGCTTTACATTTCTTTAATAGCACCAATTATGCCTCTAGTTCTACATACACATAGCCTTTTATTACCATAAGAAAATGTGATTACTAAACTTGTTCTATACAATGATGTAACATTTTCTTGTGTAATTTTCACATAAAAATTTAATTTCCAAAAATGTCACAAAGGGTTATTCTAAATTTTGTGACTAATTAATCAAAGCATGCATCTTTTGCCTATGCTAATTTGCTATGCAAACGCATAGGAGGTCGTGTGAGCACATAAAGCTTCTTGGAATGTATTGATGGGTTAAATTTCTGGCGGAGGCTAGCTTTTTAACCTTCCTCTCAAATTGCCACATGAGCAAAACATGGGTCCTGTTGAGTGGACATGTTTCCCTCCAGAGCATTTTCTGTTTGCTGTTCTTAACCCTTAAGGTTGGGATAGCTTAATTAGCATATATTTCAAACTATTTTTTAAAAATCAGCCTTGGATAATTCTTACTAAAAACTGGCCTATAATTGCCAGTTCCAAGGCTGCAGGGTTTAAATGTACTGTTTCTTGTTATTTAGTGTGTGTGTTTATTGAAAAAAACTCAACTATTTTTATGTATGTAAACCTTCTAGGTACATTGAAATCTTCAAGAGTAGCAGAGCAGAAGTGCGCACTCATTATGATCCTCCCCGCAAATTAATGGCCATGCAGCGGCCTGGTCCTTATGACCGGCCAGGTGTGGGAAGAGGCTATAACAGCCTTGGTAGAGGCAGTGGTTTTGAAAGAATGAGACGTGGTGCTTACGGTGGAGGTAAGGAAGCACAGCTTTTTTACTCTACAAATTGCCTACAGTGAGTGCAGTGTGTGATTCATTTCAATAAATGTTGAATTATGGTTTGTAGGCTATGGTGGCTATGATGACTACAATGGATATAATGATGGCTATGGCTTTGGATCTGATAGGTTTGGAAGAGGTAAGTAATCTTGATACAGGTAGTGAAGTAACTTTGTATACATACAAATGATTTAGAGTGGACTCTCCTTTCTGCAGGGATGTCAGATCATAGATACGGTGATGGAACCTCTACTTTCCAAAGTACAACTGGTCATTGTGTACATATGAGAGGATTACCTTATAGAGCTACTGAGAATGATATTTATAATGTAAGTACATTTTTTGATAGAATTTGTTCCATTAATTGAATCACGACCAACTGATTCTTAATGTAAGAATTTTTCATGGACTGACAGCTTCTGTGTGATATTCGTTATCTAGTTCTTTTCGCCTCTTAATCCGGTAAGAGTACACATTGAAATTGGACCTGATGGCAGAGTCACTGGAGAGGCAGATGTTGAGTTTGCTACTCATGAGGATGCTGTTGCTGCAATGTCCAAAGACAAAGCAAATATGCGTAAGTTGCATGCTTGATTTCCTATAGCAGGGGTCTTCAAACTTGGTCCTTTTATAACTTGGTCCCTTCAACTCCCAGAATTCCTCAGCCAGCCAAGGGCCAAGTTTGAAGACCCCTGTCCTAGAGAAAGCGTTACACCATTTCTATCAATATTAGATAATGGAATAAATTATTGCTGTTATTTCTTAATAATGAACAATATATTTGGAAATAAATACTAAAGTTATTTAGATCTTCACTGAGAATTTGATGGTCTTGTGTGAGTTCAGTGCATTGTTATCTTTGTTTCCACAGAACACCGATATGTAGAACTCTTCTTGAATTCTACAGCTGGAGGAAGTGGTGGTGCATATGGAAGTCAAATGATGGGAGCAATGGGTAGGTGTAAGCAATTTAGTTTCACAATAGTGCTGCTGATATTTAACAAAACTGGCTGATTTTATGTAGTTCCTGTTTGTTCTAAATTACCTGAAACTGAAATTCAACTTTGTTTTAATTACAGTTAAGGAAACCGAAGGGGTAGTTCAAGATTGGAACACTAACACATTGGCAGGTATACAACTTTTAGATATTCATTCCAACAATTAAGTTAAATACAGTATCTGTGTATGAATGGAGCAAAGAATGGTTCTAGATTGGGGAATGGTAATAATAGTGGGGGAATGTTGGTATGTATCAAATTTATATAACCACCCATCTCAAGAGAAGTAACGTTGCTACTTTCTTTTTGAATGAAAACTTTAGGCTGAAGGGTGGAATTGGTAGCTATTACTTACAGCAGATACTCTTTTTAATAATGTTCTATTAAATTCCTAGATTTGATATTTGATTTTCAGCATACACTTTTCAGAAGCAATTTCAGATGCTGAGCTTGCTTATGGAAATTCTTGGTGATTTCATCTGGTGTAAAGGGTGCACGTGCTGTTTTTATAGCACTTTGCAGAGTGATTTATATATATTTTTTGCCAAATAAGGTTAAGAAAAGTAAAGTTCATATTTTCAACTGCAGAAACATTTTGCAGAGAAATGAAATAAATGAGTTTTTAATTAAAACTATGATCAGCTGAGTTTTGTGTATTTGTTTTTTGATTGGTGTAGATTACAGCATTAGAAGCAATAGAATTAGAGGAAAGTGATGCTATAAGCAGATGTCAATTTGTATTTTCCTTGTATCCTGTACCAAATATAGTTCAACTTATGTTTTAGCAATGTAAGCCCAGCACATGTAAATCTCTTATTTCCAAACACAACATTTAGCCAATTCACTTGAGATGAACATGAAGTAATATTTCTGAAAACAATTTACTATGTAATTAAAGAACAATAAAATCACTTTCTTTACAAATTGACCAGCTAGTGTTACTGAATTCAGAAGCCACAAAAGTAAATCATTTGAATGCTGATCTAGAGAGATCTTCCCTGACAGTTAAGGAAAAGAATCAAAGTAGAATTTATTTAAATAACAAAGTTTATATGGCCGTCCAACTCTCAGTGACTCTTGGCAGCTTACAAAGAATTGGTACAAGAAGACAGATTTCTGTTTCAGTTAGACCTTTGGGCAAATGAATGACATAATTCTTGTTTAGGTGGACTGTAATTCATACTCTTCATAAAATATGGTGATAGTAAAATTCTTAACATACATATTCTTAACTTTAAAGGAAGCCAATCCAGTTATGGTGGTCCAGCTAACCAGCAGTTAAGTGGGGGTTATGGAGGAGGCTACGGTGGTCAAAGCAGCATGAGTGGATATGGTAAGATGTTTTTATTAATCTTTAGAAGACTATTTAGAATTGTATTAGAATTAGTTAGCCATTTATATGAGGGTCATCATGCTTCAGCAAACAACTGCAGATATTTTGAGTTTGTCCAAGTATTTGGTTTTAGCTTTAGAACATCAAAATCTAGAGGAGCAAGATCAATGGAGAGCCACTGATTGAGCATAGATTTTTTTTTAAATCTGAAAATAGTTTGGCAAATGCCGAGTGATCAAGATTTGGATCCAATCCACATGAAACTAGTTCTGACATCTCATGGTATGTAATGTGGTCATGTGTATTATTTTGTGCAGTAGAGGGAGGGCATGAAGCTATTCCAGGATTTGATTCTGTGCTTTGCAAAAATCTGGGAAACTGGTTTGCAGTTGGCTTTGTAGACATCTTAAAACATACAATGACATAGAAGGAAGTTTGTCTTTTTAATAGTACAGGATTATGCAAGGCGGTATAAAAGGGGAAATTTGGGAGGAGCATGTTGCCTTGTAAATAGCACTGCACTTTTGTACTAAACTGTATAATATGTTATCTGCTTTAGGTAACCAGAGTGCAATGAACAGCAGCTACTACAGCAGTGGTAATCGTGCATCCATGGGGGTGAATGGCATGGCTGGAATGTCTAACATGTCCAACATGAGTGGTGGCTGGGGAATGTAACTTGTCACCTGATTTTTTTTTGTCAACTTTTTTAAGAAAACAAAAAACTAAGTTTAACAGTTTTGCAATACAAGCTTGTGATTTATGCTTTACTTGTAAGTGAAATCAGGATCATTTTAAAACATTCAGGTTCAGTATTTTTGAATATGCTGAAACATTCATCTAGGGTATAAGTCCAGTAAAGAAGTTCCTGTTAAACAACTCAGCTTTTTCCAGTTTTTGTTGTAGGAATGTATTTGAGCAGTAAGTGTATTTAGGTTAAAGCTGTTTCAATTATGTTAAATGTTGCTCTTATACCACATAACACCAAACACTGTTTTCAGTGCATGTTCAGGAACATGCTTTTTGTACAAACAAGTTATAGGAGCTGTGTTGGAAATTCAAGTGAACCTTTGGCATGTTAGTTCTAGTTTTTCTTTTAATATCTTGTAAGGCACATTTACGCTTTTTAAGTTAATAGGGAAATGTGAGGTGCAATACAGCTTACCTTTAGGATTTTGGTCTTAGTATTCAGATGACATCTGAGACCTTGGTTTAATCTTTCATTGTGTTGTGATTTATTTTTAGGTGTATTGCGCTAAGTGAAACTTGTTCAAATAAAACTTCCTTTTAAAAACTGGGAACATCTCTTGATTTAAGTGAGCATTATATTTCCTGGCAACAATTCTGTCTCTGCATTTTGCTTTAACAGTTTTTAATCTGCTAATTTAACAGTTTTTAATCTGCTAAACCAGTATAACTACACTGAGATCAGATCACGAGGAAAATATCCTAGCAATTTAGTCAAACTGCAGGTAAAATGAAACTGCATAGAAAATGTTACTAAAACGGCAATTGTATATTGATTATCAATAGGAAGTATACTTTGTGTATGAAATTGGTTTGCATAGTTTAAGGAAAGCAGATGATTATAATTTGTAAAACATTTTTTGCCCAGCTAGTAGTTTTTTAAATTGACCTTTAAGAGTACCAAAATACATGGAGACTATGTTTTTTTTTTTTAAAGTAAGAGATGTATGAAATGTAGGGTGCACTTCCACTTGATGCAGACTTACACGTTTTCTGTTCAAAAAAATGTAGGGCACGGAATCTTTAACAATATTTTGAAATATTCATTTCATAGTACTTCCCCACAGGGTGTGAAGTACATGTACTGGTACTCATTTAACATTTGCTCATTCAGCAATTAAAGTTGTGCTGAATGAGGAGTACTTAAGACAGTTCCTTGTACTTACAGCCATTTTAGGGTACCATAGTCATATCACTTGTGATCTTTTCTGCTGACTTCTGACAAGCAAAGTCAATGGGCATCAAGTGACTGGGAAGCCAGGGTTTTGGGATTAGCCTAACAGTGGCAACTGGACTCCTAGAATAAACATATATTGGCATGGTTATGTGATAACCTACTTTACGACTGCATGTTTTGATGTCAAAGAGTTACTGGTCTCAATTATATCTGTATAGTGTATTGTTGGATGGGGAGACGATTGGCTATTAAAACAACGTCTGGTAAATCTGGGATTTTTCTAGTTTTATCAATTTCTTTCAAGTAATATACAAACAGTAGTTGTAATAGATACTCAGTTGTTTACAAAACAGTCGTGAGTGGGTGTGTTGAGAACCTTTGCCAAATAATAAATGCAGGATTAAGAAATACTGTTATTTGGGCATTGGATTTTAACACATGCTAGGGTTTACACTTACTGAAGTGTATTCTACAAGGTCTTCCAAATTAAAGTTTTATTCTTTGACTACTACGGGAAATACCAAAGCTCAAAACTGGATGTACCTGAAAGAGTCTTATAATTGCTTGAATGCCATTAGTCATTGATAGTTTATTTATGTTACATGTATGCTGTATTTGAGTAAGGAATCCCAGTTTGCCTCTTAGTAATGAAATTTGTATTTCATCTTTCCTTTTTATGTTATGGTTTTCTATACCATCACTTAACTTTTTAATTCCTTGGTCCAGCCTTTCCTCTGAACCATGTTATTGCTTCAACCATTTAAATTTCATTTATCTTTTTGCATTACTAATTTCAAACATGCTAATATTTTTCTTGTCCTCAAATTATTTTCTTGTTATTTCAGTTTCAAGCTGTAGCAACGTGGCATTTCTGTTAGTTTTAATTTTTTTCCAATTTCTTCATTGTGATTATTAATCTTTAATTATTCCAACTTAAATAGTTTCTTTGCACTGATCCCTCTCCCTCTTCTATTTGTCTAGTACAACATACCTAGGCAACCATGTTTTTAATTATGCTTAACTTTACCATTTTCAAAGGGTGATTTCTATCTAATAGATCCAAATTAGTAATTAAAGACTCAATTGCTTGCTTTTTCAGGATGTTATTTATTTCATGGTCATTCTTAGTCTCCATGCTACAAAGACATGACAACATCTACTGTTGTGTGTTTTGTGCTGGTTTTTTTTTAATGCTTTGCAGAGTTAGTCTGTAAAGCCATGAAATTGCTGCCTAATTGTAAAGTTTAAAATTGGGTACAGATAGTTCTTAATGACCAGTTACGATAGTACTGAAAAAGTGACTTATGATTGTTGCAGCATTCCCGTGATCCAAATTTAGGAGCTTGGCAGCAGACATCCATTTACAATGGTCGCAGCATTGTGTGTGTGGGTCACATGATCATCATTTTCATGTTCTGGCAAGCAATGTCAAGGGAGGAGGCTGAATTCGCTTAATAACCAAATGATTTCGGTTGACCACAATGATTAACTTGACAACTAGCAATCAAGCACAGCTCATGACCGCTTCAATTAGCAATAGATAATTCCTGGTCATAAGAAATGTGTATTTCTATGGAAACCTTGGAAGACAGATAACATTAATTTCTGCAGCATACCCTTTCCAGCTCATCACAGATAATACACCTCAAAAGTGTGCAGTGCTTTGTTAACTTAACAACAAAAAAGGAAATTTAGTGATGAATATATTAAGGAATATGTAACAAGTGTGGATCAACTTTATTGCGTAATCACAGATAATTTACAGTATGTTATTCTGTTTACTTTTGAAAGATTTAGAAGGCACATCCAAGCATACATTCTTTAAAAATGCTTCCATAGAACATTTTCATTTTTTATTACAGATCAACAGAAATTTAAGTGAACTGTTACAGAAGATAGATCCATGAAGCGTTCAGAAAATTAATTTGTTTTAGAGCAAATCTATAAACCTGAAGTATAAAGTTAACATTCAAACAATAGGATTTTTGAACTTAAAACCAACAGATGTGCACTTGAAATAGTGTATTTTTGAATATGGCATTTTGCTGGCACTTGATCTATAAAAAATAGTTTCCATGATTTTGGTATCCCATTTTTATAAATTAAATCTTTTCCTGTTTGAATATAATACACAGTGCCGTATATGTTAATGAAATTTAGAATATTAAAAAACTTATTACATGTTAGGTTCATTCCCTGGAATTAGCATTCTGGAGCATAGATTTTAGGAAGAAATTGATGTACACCTCTGAAGCAGCAGCGTATGGCAAGTATCACAAACTCGTACAGGTTTTGGATACGATGGAAGTGCAAGTTCATTGCTTGAACAAGTATTACAAAAGATGTGACCGCAGTTTCGACAGTGGTGCTGCAAATACAGAGAAGATTATTGCATTACTAATATCTTAAAATATCTTAGTATTAACATGAACCAAAATGATTTCAAAAATAGTTCCAGTTCTGAAAAGTTGCATGGGAATGCCATAAAAACACTGGAACTAGAAAATTTTCAAATGTTGCTTTGTCCAAATATTCTGGGAACATAAACTGGATACGAGCTTACCTCAAGAATGCCTCCAAATACATATTAATTAGAATATTCTGGGAATGCTAATCCTAGCCCTTTCAGTCTTTCTAAATAAACATTTTAGTTCTTTCAGTCTCACCTGGAACACCATCCCCTAACTCCTGCTCCTTGCTCTGGATATGTTAAAAAGACCTGAAAATCTGGCTCTTTCCCTAGGCCTTTGATCAGAGTGGGTGGCAGGTCCTGCATGTCATTTGAATGTGTAGTTTTTAATTGCATTTCACCAATAGGTGTAGAATTGGGCATCGTAAATTTCATGAAATGCATGTATTTCTCTTCATAGGACTGTTCTTAGTCCTCTGATAATCCTCACTGCCCTTTTTGAATCTGTTTCAGTTTCTCTGAAGCCTTAAAAGTGGGGAATTCAGGGGGATATAGTACTGGGCTCTGACCAGCGTACAAGAAATGTGTTGCTGATTTCTCTCGTCTGTGAAATAGAAGACACTTGGATTGAACTGGAATCAAAGGGACACATTTCAGGAACAAAGAAAAGGAATGTGACGTGTCCTTGCTGAAGACCTAGATAAAGAGCCACATGTTTAAGTCCCTTCAAAATTTCAAGGTGGGAACTCCTCAAAATTTTAGGAGAATGTTATTCCATAGGGCAGGTACTGCTATAGAGAAAATGGATTTCCAGGGGCCTGAAAGGTGGCATTGTTTAATCAATGGAACTCTGAAACACCCTTACTGGATTGAGTTGTCTGGGCAAATACTATGAAGACAGGAAGTTCCTCAAGGCCCTAGATAACACCCAGGAGCAAACTGACAACAAGTGCAGTTCACAAAGAGTTGTTGCGTGGGCAGATCACCGCCTGTACTACTGCATTCTGGACCAGCTGAAGTTTCCTGCAGTATTCAAGCTGTGAAGTGACCATGATAGGAGTGACTAAAATGCCTCCCTTTCCCAAATCTAGAAAAGAAATTTAACTGGTGCCCCAAATGAAGCTGGGCAAAAGCCTTCCTTGTCATGGCTGCCATCTGTTCAAGCAAGATGTCCAGGAAGACCCCTAGATTATATACAAATACTTGGGGAAGCGCAATCTCATTCAAGGCCAAAGTTGGAATATCAGTTCTGGTTGGTTGAACACCCACCACTACTTGGTCTTGGTAGGAATGAGTTGGAGATGGCTTCTCTCCATCCAAACCCACAGACTCCAGGCATTGGGACAGAACCACTTGGATGACCCAGATTCAAAAGATATAACCGGGTATCAAAATAATTCAGACAGCTTCTGGAAAGTAGCAACAAAGCCATCTGTACTTTTACTCATTCTATGGAGATTCTCAAGTCATCCAGGTCATGGTTGTCCCAAAGGAGCTTTTCAAAAGGCAACTGGACTTTCTTGTTTTTTTCCTGAAAACATTTCACTTCTCATTCAAGAAGCTGCTTCTTGGATGAGAAGCAAAACGTTTTCAAGGAAAAAAACCAAGAGACTCCAGTTGCCTTTTGAAAAGCACCTTTGGGACTCTTATTTATTCTATTTTATCAGTGGAAAAAAAGCACTGATAAAAAATAACTCTTGTCGGTAGATATAGTAATATTGGAGCTTGGTACTACTGTCATTACCTTTCTTCTTGAAATGGAGAACTCTTTCTCACACTGCTTACAATTGGTTGCTTCATCATCTTTTAGCCATGCATGGCCCTAATATTTTAAAATAATAATTTTTAGCTTAATTGAATTTATATAGGCTTATAACAAAATAAAAATATCTAGACAAACTTTTGAAAGTTCCTGTAAATTAATTAACTATACATTAGAGCAAGCCCGATTGAATGTTGGGCAATTTGCTTCAAAGTGAACATGCACAGAATTGTGTTGCACGATGGGAAAGAATACACTGACAACTACATGCCAGAAATTGATTGACCGACCAAGTAAATAAATATTTAGAGAACAGAAGATACTAAGATGCTTTGTCAGTACATTTCTAGTTTTACTATTTTGCCTATGACATTCCCCATGCCACAAGCTGATAAAGAGAAAGAAGTTAATAAAACAAGTTACCATTTCTTAAACAAATCTATATTATTGCATGAGCAGTACCTTTAATGCTTTATTTACTTCTTTAATATCCTCCATCTTAAGTTTTGATCTGGAAAAAAAATTAAATCTAGTAATATTTTTAGTTGCTTGATATTAACTTCTATCACTATCACCTTTTCTTCCCATTAAAATATTGACTGGCCTAAAGAAACATCATGGCTATTGACACAGCATAGGTGAAATTCAAATAAAGAGTTCACAAGTCAGTTCCTTCCTTTATTATATTACACTAACTTTTTGACAATATGATACTTTTTGATAAAAGTATCTACCAAGAACAATTCCAAGTTCCACAGATAAGCCCCATATCACCATTCTCCAATTGCAGCTGCATTTTTTTTTAATTAACAATATATTTATTAATTTCAATATTTGGACCATTTCATACTTCAGAGTTGAAGCCAGAGCTTTACTCACAAACTTTACTGATTCGTTACAAAGGGTTAACAACTTAGTGTCAATTTCATCTTCTCTCCTGGTGGTTCTAGGGTTGCCAAATTACTGGTGACCTTAGTCTCAAGCTGTTGCTTCAAATGGTACCCTTTGCTGCAAGGTAAGATTCACCCTTTCTGAGGTGGGTCTCTGGTAATAAACCATTACTCAGAAGAGAGGAGGCTGAGTTCTTTCTGGCCTTTCCCTGGAGACAAATCGGTTCCATTGGAAAAAACATCCCAGAAATTATCCTGAAAGGTTTGGGAATATTAATGCAATGTTGCCAGAACTGTTTGTGTGGTTTTAATTACTTCATTTATTTTTCATTTTGTGAATATTTTCATTGTACCTAATAACTGTTGACCAAAGAGTTGCAAGATATGTGATACAATGACACAAATTACTGAAATATACTTACTGGCTAAGATGAAGCCCCATTTCTTGAAGGGCTTGTTCTTGTTCTCCACAAATCTTTTCTAGCTGCTGCTTCTCTTCCTGCAGTTTTCGCAATTCCTATGCACGCACACATACACACACACAAATGAAATGGACTACACTGCAATTCTATTAACCAGTTTCCCCATCTTTTCTATTTTATATAAAATCTTTTATAAAGTCTACTGAAGGTAAAAAGAAAGATAATATATTCTCTCTCTCTCTCTCTGAATATATTTTATTGGAAAGCCTATTGTATGCTCCCGTAGCATGAATGAAAGACTACAGTGGTTTCTATCATTATGAAAATTCCAATAGGCTAGAGAACCTGTAAGTAGAAAGGCCTATTGTACTAGCCGCAAAAGGTCACAAATGCAATACACCTTTTTAAAACAAGAAACTACCATCATCTAGAGCAGTATTTTTCAAACTTGGCCACATTTTTTATACTTCAGCTTTCAGAATTTCCCAATAAACGTGTTGAGTGGGAAATTCCAAGAGCAGATGTCCACACATTTTAAAGCTGAGGTTCAGAAACACTGGTCTAGACTGATTGGTGCTTCCCCAAATTACACTGTAATTAGCAAATGTCCTGTAAAATTTTAAAGGTGAGGGGATGGAATGGAAGGAAAAAAAAAATCCCCTTTGCTTTTTTCACTTCAGGGCAGAACATTTTCTCCCTTCATGTAATATCTAGCTGGCTTAACGATGCCCACCTCCAAAACAGTTGTGATTGCCCATTCCAGTTCTCTCATCCTCCTTTTAATCTTTCTTGTCCTCTTTTTTTATTGCACATCCCTTTACTTTGCTTGGGGCTAGACGGGGGGGGGGGGGGAAGCAGTGTTTCCCTTAGAAGTAAGCAAACAAAAGATCATCATTTCTGGGTAGAAAGTAATCCAGCCACTATGAAATCATAAGTCTAACCTACCCTTTCCCTCTCTTAAAAGAAACTAAATTGTCATGTGCCTTACTTTTTTCAAACCTTCTACTTGCTGCAGTTCAGCTTTCAGCAAAGCTGTAGTGTCTTTCTCTTGGTGTAACTCTCGCTGCAGTCTCTGTCGCTGTTCTTTCTCAGATTTTAACTCTCTTTCAATAACTGAACTGTAAATGAAAAGAAAGAAGTACGACGAAGTTGGAAGCAAAACCTATTTTCCAAAAGAATTTACCTTATTAGCATTATGGAATAATTTTGAAAAATGGCAGAAGTTTGTACTTTTCCTCAGGTCAAAAGAACGACTTCTTCTTTTTGGTTCTGTGAAAATAGCCAGTAGGATACAGACAGCTGCTGCAAGCATGCTCAAGAACTTGTCCATAGAGATTTTGGCTTTCATTTTGGTTCAAAAGCATACCCTCAAACCCTTTTAAAAATTGCTTCTGGAACTCATTTATCATGCAACTTTGAATCAAAATCCAAAATCTCTTACTTCTTGAATACATGTATGGAATCAGAAACCAGAATTGATTTACAATTTTTACCTAGTGAAAAATCCTCTGATAATTGCTTTTGAGACTGTCCCCCAAAAATAATAATAAAAAACTTTCGCCTTCAATATCATTTCCAAATAGACGTTAAGAAAGAAACACTAAATTTCTTAGGTGCAAACATAGCGATAAGGTTGCAAGAAATGATATTTCTCCTCAAAATCACTGCTCATATCATATCTCAGAACAGAAACTTTTGGTAATGTAACAACAATGATGACACTATCAAACAAAAGGATTGCTAAGTGAAGGAAAGAGGGAAAATGTTGGGGTGATGATCCACTCTACCCAAAACCTGTTTCCCTATTACAGGTAGTCTTTAACTTATGGCAATTTGTTTAACGACAGTTTGGAATGATGACAGCCAGGGAACGGGCGCCTGCAAAGTACCTCTGACAAAAAACATAATGCCACCATCTTGAGGTCACCTGATTGTGATCTGGATATCACAATACCACAATCACATGATTGCCATTTGCAATCTTCTCTGCTGGCTTCCCCAGAAAGTCAATGGGGAATCCAGCAGGAAAGGCTTTAAACTTCTGCCTGCTTGCTGCAGAGTTGAGATTCCCTCCTGGCAGGTAGCTTTTTAAGAGTGAAAGGGGCTGTCTGCCAGGAGGGAATGTCAGCCTGGAAGAAATCTTAGCTCTGCATGGAGCAGAGATTCTCCCCTGCCCCATAAGCAGCCCTTTGAGAGTGAAAGGAGCTGCTTGCTGAGGGGAGGGAACTCCTCTGGTGGGCTGAACAGATGGAGAGCAGATCCCTAAGATCTGAGCTCTATTCCTGCAGCTCTTTGGAGGAGCTCCACTCTGCACAAGGGGGGGGGGGAGAGGAACTTCTCTGAAAAGCTACAGGAACTGAGCTCAGACCTTTTGCATTTGGAGGGAAACTGAGCTCGACAGGCAGTTCTTTTGCTCTGTCTGCTTAACCTGGGAGAGACTGCTCAATGACTGCAACCTGGACTGCTGGGATTATAGTCACTGAGTGAAGCAAACGTGGGTGTCTCATTTAATGACTGCTTCACTCAGTTACTCAGTTTCTGGTCCCAATTGTGTAAGTTGAAGACTGCCTGTAGTTTCAGTAACAGAAGTATTAATCGTACTAGTTCCAGTTTAAGTAGGTTAAGTATCCAGTCCTTGGGAAATACAATTTAAGGAAGTGAAGTCTACCCCCAACTCTTGAATACTGCCTTTTGGAGCTGCCCTATGGTAGCGCATGCATATGCCTCCATTAGGTGGGCACTGCCAGGCAGAGATTCTTTCCTATCAGGAGTACTTATCCCTGTGGGTGGAAGAACACTTCTGCTATCTTGGCAGTGACTGATTTTTCTGAACCACTAACTGTAAACAAAATATGTCTCTTCTGTTCAAATGAATACGAACATAAGAATGTATATAAGCTAAGGTTATATAAAATAATAGTACCAGTTGCTATCCAGTTGGATTAGTTGCTGCTTCAAAGTCTCAATTTTGCTCCCCAGTTCTTGTTTCAGTTTGACATTTTTCTCTTCTGCAAGCTGCTTAGCCTTGTCTGCACGCTGCAGTCTAAAGTACAAAAAAAGGGGACATACAGACCTGGTTGTGAATGTTATTTTTTGTACCACATCAAAATGACAAGTTTAAAACATCAGGGACTAGATCAGTGGTTCTCAACCTTTTTAATGCCGCGACCCCCAACTGGTCGTAAGTCGAGGACTAAACCGGTCGTAAGTCAAGGACTACCCAACCGGTTGTAAGTTGAGGACTTTCCCTGCCTGGGAGCTCCGCGCATGTGTGGTGCCACCCCCTGCGCCGGCCGAGGCGTAGCCGGCAAGCGGCAGAGATGGAGCAGGCCGACCACCGGCTGGGCCACCAGCTGGCCCAGCCCAAGGGAGATAAGGCACCCACTGGAAAAGGGGAAAAAATGGCAGACAGCCTTGCTTGGCGACCCCCATGAAATGGTCGATTGATCCCAAATGGGGTCGCGATCCATAGGTTGAGAACCGCTGGACTAGATCATATGTTCAAAGGAAAGACCATTTCATGCTTCCTGCATCATGGAAAAGTGTTATTTTTGACAGGGAGAAGCTGCCTAGAAAAAAATAAAACAAATTCACATATAACTCTGATAATACCTTTATTTGAAGTGAACCTCTGGCCCCTCCAATACTAAAAACCTATGCAGATCTGCCAGCAGCTTCTAAATAGGCTAGCAGAAGAAAAGAATTCACTATAGCTCCTATCATAAAATCTTATGATTAATGTTAGTAATCCACCCCAGTTCTATATAAATACCTTGATTGAAAACAGATATAAAATTGAATGAATAAATGTTTATAAGATATGGATCTGATCCAGAAACAGCCCCTCCATCTCAGTTTCTTGTCCCAGTGCTGATCACTGATTCACTCTCCTTTGACTCTTTTTCCTTTCTCTTCCATATATTGACCTTCATCATATAAAACTAAAGTTTCATCCTTTCCAGCTTTGTTCATGCATTTCTTATCTATGAAATGTTATATTATTACAGTGTGGAGACTAGCCTGCCTAAAAGACTTCTCCCTTTGACAGAGAAGCAATGGGCCTGATAACGCCTTTCCAAGTCTTCCTCTTGTCAGAATATGCCTTACAAGGATCTGCAAAACTTTATGGAAACAGTGGGCAGCATCAAGGAGAACTGTGGAAAACTGGCACTCATGCTTCACTAGAAACAACTGATGTGCAAAACACTGGAGAGCTGCTAAGGTCACACCTTGACCAGATATGTGGAAGAAATCACCTGTCCTCCAATTGTTTCACAGAAGACATCATTTGATCTGTTTTGTCTTCAAAGGATGATATTGCTTCTTTTTTCTGTTGTAAAGAACTCTCTGCAGTCTGGAGCAAAAACAAATTTAATCAGGTCACCTTAAATTAATTCTTCTTCTTATGGCTTGGAGGGTTGTAACAGTTCAGAAAGATCCTTCTTCACATCTCTTTTCATACTCCTTTCCCTTCAAAGATTCTCTTATTTCTAATATAGCAGAGTTAATAAACCTAATGGCAAAACTCAAGAAACTGCTTTAGCTGCAGTACTTCAAGAGAAACCCCCCCTCCCCCCAGAAAATAATCCAATAAACCTGTGCTTTTACCCAGAGAGTAGATTGTAACAATAAAAAGTAACTTTTATCGTTGTAGTGCAGAAATGAGCTCTTAGTTGGTGGCTGAAGACATACTTGTCTTTGTTTGTTTGGCAGAAGATCTGCAATGGGTGGAACTTTAATATATATCACAGGGCTATCTAACAAATATGAGTGGAGTCAATATTTTTTTTTTTACAGTTTCCTTGAGAGGAAGTTTAAAAAACGTTTAGCTTTTTGAGACCTACAAATAGGATTTTGTGCTTCTTGCTGGCTAATGGCAGCAGAGCCCTTGGCCATCTGCTCCCTCTTCAAGTATTGTATTAAAATACTGCATAAAAGCTTCTAGAATATTTTGAAGTGTCTTAGCTAGATGAGTGATGGAAGTTGACTAATAGAGCATCCCCACTCACCATTAAGCTTCCAGTCAGAAAACTAACCAAGTTAGGAAAACACATATTCGCTCTCTTGTGCTTCTGTCATAAGGATATCACAACTAAAAAAACCTGAGAAAGTAAACAATTATTTGCTTTTCAGCTGTGTGTGAAGAAACCCCTTGTTTGCCAATAGAAGACATCATATAAGTGAGATTGAAGGCCAGGTTAGATACAATGATCCTTGTTTCATAATCCTTAGTTTATGAAATTAGAAATGAATTCTTGGCCTGAATGCTTTTTTCTTATCCCTCGCATGACATGTATTATCCTAGTCAGAATTCCTTGGTGTTTCCATGAAAAGGAACTCTGGCACAGAATCCAGAGTTATCCCAACTTAACATCTTTGTTAGTAAACTGATCTTAAGCCAGAATTCCCTATCTAGACTATAACAATCAGGATCTTTAAGTTAAAATCAGCAGTAGAAGGGAAGATGGGATGAGACAGAAAAGAATTTGCATTTTCAGCTTCAAAAATAAAAGTGAACATTGCATCAAGCTTGATCAAACAGATTGTACACTTCTGTACTTTTGGGACTATTTGTGGCCATAGCAAAGAAACTCTTGAATACCTGAGATTTATTGAACATCTGCAAGTTGATAGCTTTAACTTCCTCCAACTGCTGGCGAAGTGCAACCAAGGTATCTTGTTTTTCATGTGTATCTTTCTCTAGAAGTTTCATGGCAATTTCCATCTCTGTTTTCATTGCAGTCTGAAGGTCCAATTCTTTTTCCAACTCCTTAAAAATACAATACAAGCTGCATACATAAAACACTTAATGTACATCATAAACGTCAATATATTATTTAGGGTAGCCTTCTCAATGTTATGCCCTCTTGGACTGCTGAATTGTTCTTCTATAGTTCAAGGCAATCAAGGGAAGGAAGTTTTACACTAAATAAATAAAAGGATCTTTTATATTTACAGTTACATTGTACATTTCCCCCCAAATTGTTTTGCTATGATCCAGAAAAGATTTATATGCGTATGTGGACTTTCCATACTCTCCAAATCTTTCTAGTACCTCCCAGGCATAATTGGCTATGGACTCTTTGTATTGTGCTAAAGCAGTGGTTCTCAACCTGTGGGTTGCGACCCTTAGGCTTTCACAGGGGTCGCCTAAGACCATCCGATGGTCTTAGGAACCGAGACACTAGTGAGAACTTCTGCTCAAGGCTAGCTCCCCCAGCCAGCTCGGGCAGACAGGAAAGCAGCCGCCTCAGCAGCATGGCGGGGCTGCGCTACCCATCGCAGAGCAGCTACTGCTGCATCACCACGGCTATGAACATCCTGCTTGGTGTCTTTCAGGTCCTCTTGCCTGGCTTCCGTCTGGGAGAAGCGCAGGGCCAAGGTAAAAAAAAAAAAAAAAGCCTGGCGAAATACTCCCGAGGGTAGTGTTGATCTGTAGCGGGAGGTGAAGGGGGTGGGTCAACCAGAAAGGAACCGGGTCTGATAAGGGCGAAAGTTGAGTGAGGTTTTCCCCCTCACCCCTTTCTCCGCCTCCCTTTGTGCAGTGGCATCTCTGGCTGCTGCCTTCCCAGTCGCTGAGAAAGGGAAAAAAAAGCCGTGAGCAAGTTCCCCTTTCTGCCTCGTTGCTTAAAGCTTTTTTTTTTTTAAATGACCGCCTGTTCAGAACTCCTTGGGGCTTGTTTGCACGAGCTTGTGGCAGATCAGTAAATAAATGGGTGGGGGAGCCAAACAGTCCAAGCCGTTTGCACCCTGAACGTGTGGGCGCTGCTTTCATGACTTGCCCCCACCGCCCCCTCTCTTCTCGCCCTGCTCTGGCAACGTGCTGCTGCTGGCTGAGCTGAGCTGTGGCACCGAGCCAGTCCCCATGCCTGCTGGTTGCCCGGCCGTGATCCGCCCTGGCTGCCCTCCGCAGCACACCGGAGGCTCCCCTGCGCCGCCCGTCGGAGGATGCTTCGGCCCTCTGGCGTCCGGCACGGCCCTGGGACTGGCGGGCAGGAGCGGCTCCTTCCTGGCTCCCCGGGCTCCGGGCCTCAGAAGCGGCCAGGCGGCGATGATGCCCGCATGTGCGTTGGAGGCCAGCCGGCCGGGCCGGGAGGGGAGAAGCGGCGCCTTCCAAAAGGAGCTGGCGCTCCGGCCACGCCCCTCGCGTGTGACAGGAAGGGTTGTGGCAGTGAAGGGCTGAATGGCATGGAAAAGGGCTCCCGTGACCCCACCGCTGCGATGGCGCTCAATCCTTCCTTCCTTCCATCTCCTTCCCTTCCCCTTCAATCTCCCCTTCCTTCCTTCCTTCCTTCCTTCCTTCCTTTCCTTCCTTCCTTTCCCCCTCAGTCTCCTTACTTCTCCATCTCCTTCCTTTCCCTTTCAATCTTCCTTCCTCCCTTCTCCATCCCTTCCCTTTCAATCTCTCTCCTTCCTTCCTTCCTTCCTTCCTCCCTTCCTTTCCCTTTCAATCTCCTTCTTTCTCCATCTCCTTCCTTTCCTCTTCAATCTTCCTTCCTTCCTTCCATCTCCATCCCTTCAATCTCTCTCCTTCCTTTCCTTTCCCCTTCAATCGCCTTCCTTTCCCCTTCAATCTTCCTTCCTTCCATCTCCATCCTTCCCTTCAATCTCTCCTTCCTTCCTTCCTTCCTTCCTTCCTTCCTTCCTTCCTTCCTTCCTTCCTTCCTTCCCCCTTCAATCTCCTTCCTTTTCATCTCCTTCCTTTCCCCTTCAATCTTCCTTCCTTCCTTCCATCTCCATCCTTTCCCCTTCAATCTCTCTCTCCTTCCTTCCTTCCTTCCTTCCTTCCCCCTTCAATCTCCTTCCTTTTCATCTCCTTCCTTTCCCCTTCAATCTTCCTTCCTTCCTTCCATCTCCATCCCTTCCCCTTCAATCTCTCCCTCCTTCCTTCCCCCTTCAATCTCCTTCCTTCTCCATCTCCTTCCTTTCCCCTTCAATCTCTCTCCTTCCTTCCTTCCCCTTCAATCTTCCTTCCTTCTCCATCTCCTTCCTTTCCCCTTCAATCTTCCTTCCTTCCTTCCTTCCTTCCATCTCCATCCTTTCCCCTTCAATCTCTCCTTCCTTCCCCTTCAATCTCCTTCCTTCTCCATCTCCATCCCTTCCCCTTCAATCTCTCTCTCTCCTTCCTTCCTTCCTTCCTTCCTTCCTTCCTTCCTTCCTTCCTTCCTTCCTTCCTTCAATCTCCTTCCTTCTCCATCTCCTTCCTTTCCCCTTCAATTTTCCTTCCTTCCTTCCATTTCCATCTCCATCCCTTCCCCTTCAATCTCTCTCCTTCCTTCCTTCCTTCCTTCCTTCCCCCTTCAATCTTCCTTCCTTGTCCATCTCCTTCCTTTCCCCTTCAATCTTCCTTCCTTCCATCTCCATCTCCATCCCTTCTCCTTCAATCTCTCTCTCCTTCCTTCCTTCCTTCCTTCCTTCCTTCCTTCCTTCCTTCCTTCCTTTCCCCTTCAATCTTCCTTCATTCTCCATCTCCTTCCTTTCCCCTTCAATTTTCCTTCCTTCCTTCTATCTCCATCTCCATCCCTTCCCCTTCAATCTCCTTCCTTTCCCCTCCAATCTTCCTTCCTTCCATCTCCATCCCTTCCCCTTCAATCTCTCTCTCTCTCTGTCTCCTTCCTTCCTTCTTTCCTTCCTTCCTTCCTTCCTTCCCCCTTCAATCTCCTTCCTTTCCCCTTCAATCTTCCTTCCTTCCTTCCCCTTCCCTCCCTCCCAACATTTTTGAGCAAGGAAGAGTAAGCTTCTCCAGCGAGCATTGCTATATTGTTTTTGAGATTAATCACTATGCTTTAATTATGTTCAATTTGTAACAATGAAAATACACCCTGCATATCAGATATTTACATTACGATTCATAACAGTAGCAAAATTACAATTACGAAGTAGCAACGAAAATAACATGAGGAACTGTATTAAAGGGTCGCGGCATTAGGAAGGTTGAGAACCACTGTGCTAAAGCAACAACAAATATTGGAGAGAAAAGCAAAAATAATGACCTCTGCCTAGCTTTGGGCATAGAATTTTTGAATCTTTATTAGTATTTTCCTGCAACCAACTGGAAAATCTACTCTTATATTCAGTTCTAATAAAAAAGCCAGGTGTACACAAATCAGTTTTTTGCATTTTTGTGAATGATTATTTTATATGAACATATATTTATTTTATATGAATAAATTGAAAAGGGCGGTCTAAGGATTATTTAACATTTCCACTGCCAGACAATGGTGACTATACACAAAATAGTATTCTATTTATTCTTCCCCTAGGATTCTCCCATTTCCTTGCAATCTTTCCTACTTAACCCTCCTTCTCCAACTCTGTTCATTCTGAGTATGGATTAAAATCCTTACTATATGGCTCCTGGCTGATCCTCTCTGATATGAACAAATTAACGATGAATTTGCAAGTATGGGGTTCAAGGAAAGCTCTTGTATCTGCAAAAGCAATATTTTCAAGGTTTTTTTTTTACCAGCTGCATCATTCTCATTTGGGTATGTATGGCATTTGACTGCTAGCCCTGTGTGCTTCTGGCCAGACTGCTGTTCAAATCTAATTGTGAGCATCAGTATATCATTTTTTTCTTGTTACCTTAGCTATTAAGTAATAGTTATTAAGATAAGCAGTTAAGTAATAGTTTAAGAGCTATCATGTAGATCAGGAGTATCTAAGCTATGTCTTCCAAATATTTTGGAATACTGCTTTCACTGCCATTCATTGTCAGGATGAGAGCTGAAATCCAACATATAGTGCCCTCATAATGCCAGTCTCTGAACAGATTAGAATAAGAACAGACTGGTGCAATATGCTCCACTAACCAAAATACCAGAGACAGGCAGAGTTTTGCACACGTCTTTCCTGTCTGATGTTTTTGTAGTTTCTATCACAATGGCTCCCATTAGTGTTTATAACTGCTTTTCCAATTAGGCTTTCATTGAGTAATACAGCTAACCCAATCCTCCTCCTTATCCTAGCCCAGGTTCAGCACTTTGTAGTACTTAACTGCATTTTAGATATGAAACTCTGTCAGTTGAGACTAAACGGAACAATTATTTTATTTCCAGTTGTTAAATTATGAGCTCTCACCATTCGAATTCTTTTCTCCTCTTTTAATTGCTTCCAGACATCACTATACATTTCATCTAGGCCTTGTCGTGATTGCTTATAGGTTTCCAGTTCCACTTTGGTGTCCAGTTTAGTTACCTAGATTAAAAAGTGGGTGAATAATCTGCTAATAGATTGGAGACTCAATGTTTCTATAAAAGAAATCAAGAGGTGAGATTATCAATGGATGCTGCAAGCAACAAGGTATCTTATACCTGTGAACAATATGAGCAACAAGATGCTAAAGATTCAAAGACATTGATTTATGCTAATTTATGAAACTGCTGCAGTCAGCTGGGGGAAAAAAAAAGCAAAATACTTGTTTTCATCCATTCATTTTCCTGGAAAAATGTCAAAGAAAGTTGATTTCTGCAAGAGTGAACTGGAAAGTCCATTCTTATAGAAGCTATTATGCATCTCAGTATGTACAGAACTATGGAGGGGGAAAGTAGCTGGAAACTGAACCATGGATAGTATTTCAATGTACCACCTAATGGTGCTAGTTTTAATGAGATGCAATTATTTGTTAGATTTATATCTTGCCTTTCTTTCAAGAACTTAAGGTAATTTACATGGAGAATGCTCCTTATTTTGTCCCCATAACCACTATGAAATAGATTGGGCTGAAAGAGTGTGCTAATGTGACCCAAAGAGATACCATGGCTAGGGGTGATCTTTAGTCTCTCCAGTCCTAGTCCAACATTTTAAGCACACCACCATTGGACACAGGGCTTGCCCTTCACTGAACAAAGGGCTTCTTCAATTTGCAGACAGAAACAAGGAGCTATCCTGCTGGAGACAGGTCAATAATTATCTTCACTTCCTCCACTCGTCGATGGCACTTGGCTCCCTAATTGCTCAAATAACATCAGACATTCCAGTGGGGCTTTTAATGGAATGGAAACTTAGAGAAGAGTCAATTCTTTTCTGTCAGATATGCAGACCGTATGAATTTAAAGCATCATTATCATCTTTGTCATCAACGGAATAACTGAGCACAAATCTATGTCTAACCTATCATTATTTGATCAAAATGATTATCTTGTTGCATTTCACATATATAGGAGTACCTTTTTGTGCCCTAAGAGATTTATATATGTTTCTTCTGTGCATTTTTTTGTGTTAGGAAGAAAAATAGATAACATTTAAAATAAATAAGCAAACAGTTAAGGCTCCTATGTAGTTTTAGGAGATTATGTAGGCTTTTCAGTATCTGACCTCAGCATACTTTTCACTACGTTCACGAATTAATTCGTTTTCCTGTTTCAGCTCCTGTTGTTCTTCCTGGAGAGCTTTGATTCGATCTGTTGCTGCTGATAGCTGGCCAAAAGGTAGTAGAAGGAGAGTGATTAAAAAATGAGAAGATGAAACAAATGAAACATTCCCCAAATGAAACATTTATATATTATCCTGCTGTTCCCCAAATGAAACTTTCATATATTATCCTGCTGTTCATAAAAATCTGCTATTCAGTAGTGCCTCAAATGACTGCATTTCAAGATTTAACTGAGTAATTAGTTCCTGTTCCAAAATAGGAACTAATTACTGTTATGCTTTTTTGTTCAAGCACTATTCCTTTCAGATGATAGCATGAACTTACTCTGCTCTTAATAATCACTTAATAAGATAAGGTTGTAGCTCAATGACCTGAACTTTTTACACACAAAGTATGTATTTGTTTTCCGAAATCCTGAGGTAAAGATAATACAGATGGACCAATGGCTTTTTATAAAGGTAGCTTCCCACATTCCTGTACCTAGACATTACAATCAATCTACAAGTTGTAATATATTACTTTATTTATTTGTATCCTGTCTTTATTCTCTAGGTTTTTTCAGGTACATTTGAACTATTTAATTTAAAAAGTAATTGAAAATATGTCACCATGACCACAAACCTCTTCTTGGAGTTTGGAATTTGTTTTTTCTAAGCACTCGATCTTGCTCTGAAGATCGCCAACGGTGCAACTATAATGAAAGAGACTCAGTATCTGTATAATAATTCTAGCCATTCCATCCCAAAATGAAAAAATTGGTTTCTCAAAACAATCAGGGTCCCCAAACTAATAAAATGTCTGAAACAATATGATCAAATCCAAGGCAAAACCTGGGGTTCTAGCTTAAGGTAAGGGGACGGAGGACATAAGATACTAAAACTCTGAATTGTAAGGAAAATATCATGCTTCTCTAAGTAGATACAACATCCTTTATGTTAGAATTGTGGTCTTCATATGAGGGTGGGGGAATAAAGTATTAACCAACCAACATACCTTAAATGTCGATTAAGTTCTTCTACATAATGTTTCTGGTCAAGCACAGCAGTAATTCCTTCATCTCTGACATTAAAAGAAAGATCATTGTCTTTTTAAAACAGCCAACTGTTTCAAGTGCTATGTTTACATTTGGAATGGTTGTTGTATAAGATATATATTCATTGTATATGCTACAAGTACAAATCCAAAATACCATAATCAGCAGGTATAATTTATTTTTATCCCTTTATTATTTTTATCTCAAGGCATTGAATATGCCTAACCCTCATTCCTCCATTAATTTTCTTCACAACGGCAACCATGCTGTGAGATGAGTTAGGCTGAGTGAGTGACTGGCTCAAAGATGCCAAGCTGACTTTCATGCCTAAGGCATTACCTTAATGCCAATTTACACTGTTTTATAGATTTCTCTTTAATTTGCCTATTTCTATTCTGGTTTCAATTTTTCTTTCTCTAAAGTTTAAACTGGACTCATCTCTGATACAGTTTTCTGTTACAGAATTTAAAAAAGCAGAACCTTAACTATACATACCCTTTGCCGTTGTCAGTACACTGTGTATCCTTAAGGTACAGAGAAAAATCAATCACTGCAACCTGACAAGATAAATTTCATTAAATTAATTGTATTGTCTCTCTCTAATACAATTCACTATGATGTGCTTTTCATACCCTTTTCACGTTCAAGGGGATTAAATGTAAGGGGATTCAGGCCATTAACATAGTCCATTAATTGTCATTGTCCCAAGATGAGCTCAAATACTTGTTTTCTTGATAGAGACTTCTTTGACAGCACTAGTGTCCAGTGCAAACAACCATGCAAAGCAGAGAAGCCGATTTAACAATAGAGCACAGCAGCTAAGCAAAACTGCTCCAAAGGAGGAGGACATGACATGACCAATGACACTCACTACAACCAAGCAAAAAAAAGGATCAAATAAATTGCACAAATGAGCTCTGCAAGAGGAAAAAGATGAGCACAAGATACAAAATGTGGCCGCCCAATTTGCATAGATTCAAACTATTGCTAGTAGTTTTATGTTGGGACAGAACTTCTGTAAATAAGCCACCTATAAATGCAATTATTACATTTTCAGAAACATCTAAAACAATATGAATTCAGCCTGATTACCCTGGGTTCAGGCCTAGTGTTGCCGCTTAGGACTTAGTTTAAAGGAAACAATTTTCACCTGGGAATCCAAGTCTTCTCCTTTTAAACAGAGATTTGCATCAATGACGTTTAGCCCAACCAACAGGCCCACAATCAAAGCTCCTTCTTCTTCCATCATCAACGCATCAGGCTCATAATATTCACTAGGAAATGAAAATATAATGATTTAGAGAGGAATATTTTACGTTATCACAGCATCATTCAAAAGATTTTTTTTTTCTAAACTAAATATCTCTTATCCAATTAATATTGTGAATATAAACACTGAGCTAGATTTAGCACAAATGGAAGAAGAGTTTCTTCTTTTGCCAGGAGTTTCAGTTGCTATAACACTTTTCTGTCTGTAGAAGAGTGACAGGGAGAGGGAATAGCCTGTTCCCATTTTTCACTGGCAGAAGTCATCCAAATTGACCTCTAGACCTAATTTAACTGTTTCTCGTTCTGCACGCTAATAAATATTCTTCTTGAAGAAAAATCCAAAGTACCTCAAGAGACACTTGTGATCCAAGAGTACTTTCAAGTAGTCTGCCAGTTTCTTTTGCATCACGGCAAGATAAAGCCAAGCTCTGCCTCTTCCGACTGGAGTCCTACAACCCCACAGGAAAATCATTGATTAAATATGTCAAATTGCTCAGCATACAAAAGGAATAAGAAACAAAATATTGCCAGGATAAACATGAATAGCATTTGCTAAAAATACCAACCATTTCCCACAGAAGATAATTTGTCAGAACTTGAAAAATATTTAAAGCCCGCCCATTTTTTTAACTTAATGTTTTCTCTTTAGGTTGAATGATTATGCAACTCTACTGTTAGTATTAATACTTTACACAGATGATTTTGAAGGACAGTAAATAAAAGGTAATGCAGGTTGGTAGTTTTACTCTAAATAAAAATATTCTAAGTTACAATCCGTGTGGAAAAAAAATCTGCTTTTAACTGGTGGTCAGCACAGATCATCTGATTAGTCTAGCAAATCAAAATTAAAAAGATAAAAAGCATGCATTCTTTTAAACAATTTTCTCTTATTAACCCCAATTAAAGAACTATAATATCTGTTTCTCTTCACCTTAATTCTGGCAGATTTCTGACACTTGTTGCTAAATCTGATGCCTCTGGACAAAGTCTCTCCACTAATTCTAAAGGCCCAAAAAATGATTTGTTCTGCCCAATAAAGCTCTTCTTAGCTAAAGGTAGAATGGAAGGAAAAACATATTATTATTCTTCAGTTCATGTAATGCAGTTATCTACAGATGCAACCTAACTGGACTGTACTTTTAGACAAACACTAAACAACGTTGGATATATTCTGAGTTAATATATCACAGACTTTCCTATATATTAAAGGAACTTAATATACAAGTAACACTTAGGAATGTCTATTTTCATATTTTTTTCCAGATATGCCTTAATATAACTTTTGTTTCCCTAATGCACAGAAGTAGGCAAATATATATATGCATTTAGTTTTAAATGTGTGATTCCCCCCCCCATTGCTTCTATGAATTTTCTCATGGTTCAGAAATTACACCATTCTAGGTAAGTTCTGCAAATATCTAGTGGCTATTTCTGTTGTATGGGGACAGCTAAATAAAAAAAAAGCATGGTATCCTTCAAATATTAACCAATAAAAATAAAGTGAACAAATAAAAATATGCTTTCAACCACACAAACATAAAACCAGATTTGAAGCAAACTCACCTTTAAGTCCATGCTTGAGACAATGTTCCAAAACAATAAAGAACTGCTGCAGAGGAGGGAAGTCAGAATCAAGAGTTCTCCCCAAACTCAAAGCTGACTGGATTAAGATTTTAATGCTCAATTTCATCATATTCACCAGATTGGAACGCTCTTCCATTGTGTGGGATCTGGCTGCTAAACACATATAGACAAACAGACACGCATATAAGAAAGCAAAGTCTTGTAATAGATCATAGGCTTATTTTGAAAATGTGAATCCACACAAATAAGCATTTTCTTGTCTTGCTAAAAAAAAACCCTGCACTTGGAATAGCATACATAGGTATTATTCATAAAAAAGCCCAACGTCTTAAAGTATGTTTAGTTCCTTATTTATACAGCAAAAATGCATAACAATAATGGAGTCTGAATCAATATGGCAAAAACGTGTGCATAACCAAATGTGCACAGTAAGAACCAGGTCACTATAAGTTTCGGTATCTGCAACAACCTTAAAAGTGCACAGGTACTTTTATTCCATTCTCTTCAGAAGGATGCTTGCAGTGCAACATTTTAATCCCATGTCATGTTTCCTACAGGAATGACCATCACAGTTGCTTATAAACACAGATGGAAAAAATCTTGTAAGTGTGTTAATACAAAAAATAGTCGTGGCTATAGAAAATAGTCAAGACTACAGAAGAAACCCCATGTTTCATTCTTGGCCTGATTGAGAGGTTACAGTGAGAAAGCAAGCATTGCAATTTCCGCAGAAAATCGGGAGCAGAAGCAGTTCTTCATCGCAAAATCATGGGCCTCCTCGTGCATGGGTTTATCCCGGGTCCCACACTTACAGACATACACGGGCTACTCAGTCCTGAAAAGCCTCCCCGACGGCAATTCCCCGTCTCCACCTCCCGGAGAGGATCACGTTATACTCCGGCCTTCCCACAGGCAAAACTGTCATTTGCTTTCTCCCCCCTCCTTCCTTTCCCCCATTGGTTTCTCACCTGCACCTGCGTTACCCGAGCAACACTTCCCACTTCCTGCAAGTTCAAAGAGAGGCCTCTCGTTGGACAAAACACACCGAATCTCTTATACGCTTTCTGCGAGCCAATTACAACTTTGCATCAACCATTCTAAGGGCCCGGATTGGTCACTCTCTCTCATTTGCCGCCTTAAGTTTTGACAGGGGAGAAAAATGTTCAAATTCTCACCCCAAACTCGCTTCTCATTGGACACAGAGGCAAATTGGCCCAGCAAACTCCGAGCCATTATAAACAAGAAAGCGGAGACGCCATTTTAGTTGCTCCTGCTTCTGGAGGTTAAGAGTTTTCTAGGCTTTCTTCCCCTCCCCCCCCCACGCAATCGTTGGCGGCAATGAGCGGCGGGCTTTACCTTCCATTCCCATTTCTGGAGAAACGTAACATTTTAAAATCCATTTTCTAAATGGAATTCAGTTCTGCTTCCTTCTGTCCCGCTTCCTGCTCAATGCAAAGTAAAGCATCTCTGATGGACCTCTCGTCAGCCTCTACCTAAGACAGGCTGAGAGGAGAGTCGCCCCCCCCTCCCCTAGATTCATTCTCGTGGGGTTCTGCTCCAATTTTTGCTGTCTTTCAAGATTGCTTCCCTCCCCCCCTTTTTTTTCTGAAAATGAGCCACCCCTCTAGCCAGGTTAGCATGCCTGTTGGGGAATTCTGGGAGTTGAAGTCCATACAGTTTACAGTAGCCAATTTTGAAAAAGACTGGTTTAATACAACATAAGCATCCTGAGCAGCCTAAGCTAAAGCACCTCACAAGCACTGTTTCTTTCAGAAGCACGACTCCTGGGTGAATGTGATCACCTGGACTACAATAATAGGTGTAAAACGTAGACAGAACCTAGCAACTATGTTTTGATTTTTGCCTGTATGCTGTGGCTGGGATATAGTTATTGATTTGTTCTTCCTGTCAGACTGTATAGCCACATATGAATGAGAAGCAGGATTTCTGTCAGTTGTATGATGTATCACATGTACTGGTACCCATGTGGATTGTGCAGTGAACAAAATGAAAGGTGAACAGAAATAAAATATTTGATTTTAGAAGTTTGGAAGATTTTTGAATTGTTAAAAGTCTATCTGCACATAGTCATTTATTACTTTAAATCTTTAAATAAAGTACATTAAACCATTAAAACAGATGTGATGGATGTGCAGGGAGAAGATTCATTTTTCAAGGAGGATATTTTAATACACTTCAAATTTAATCCTAAAAATATTTGTAGCATGATATTACACTAAATCTCCACTTTAATATAGTTTATATTAAACTATACTTTAATATAGTTTATAGTTTATTCTAGAATATGTGTCTGATTGCTGCTTTGGTTAGAAGCAATTTTCATTTGTGTTGGAGTTTGTTTATGCATCATTGTGCACAGCATATCAATCTTAATGTATTAAAATCTGCTAAGCATTTTGTTAAAAATGTGGCTGATTATGACAATCTTTTAAACCATATTCCCCACCAAGAACCTATTATAGAGAGATTGCTCACTCAATTTTAAAAAATAAGAATTTGTTGAGATGAAGTATATGTATATATGTATTTTGCATATCTTGTGTTTTCTCTTACTTAAAAACATTTTTCTATTTCTGATAAAAGTGAAGTTCTTAAATACAATACTATCTGGTGAAAATAAATTCTTCCTGAGACTTTTAATAAAATTAATGTTATTTTTTTTCCCTAATTTTGAAAGCAATTGATTATTGAAACTGGGTTTTATTTTATTGAACAGTCAACTGTTGGAGAAACTTTTACTTCGATTCCAGGGAGGGATTAGATTTAAGGAGTGAATTAGTACAAACCATTTTTTCTTTTCTTTTCCTTTTATTTTGCCTTTTAGTCAGTCTTGACTCCTAGCCACTACCTGGAGAAATCCTTGCAGTTTACTTGGCAAGATTTTTTTGGAAGTGGCTTTGCATACATGCTTCCTAGGTTTGAGAAAGTGACTGGACTGAGGACAGTCAGCTAGCTTTGTGCCTAAGGCAGGACTCAGTCTCCTGGTTTTTAGCTTGGTATCTTAACCACTATACCAAACTGGTTCTTCAAGACAAAACATTAGCTGACCAAATGTTAGTCTAATACTGTATGTTGTATGAACCCAGCTTGGGGAGGTGGGGAATCAACTTATAATTCAATGTGTCATGCAAAACTAGAATATTAAATAAACTATGATTTAGCTACCATTGTTAATACCAATTTTCCCCCAAACCCATAAATCGGTTAATGTAGAAATACAATAATCTTATTCATTATTTCCTATTATTGGAAAGCATAATTATAAAATAAGATGAAGTGATAAAGGATTACATTATAAATAGGGATTAGCCATGTTTTAGGAGATTATTGAAAGAATATTTTTTCTGACTGAAGTGTGAATAATAAAACATTTTAGTTATATTATATTTTTATCTTAAAGTCATTTTTTTGAACTGAAATTAAAGTATTAAGATTCCCTTGGCAAAGTGGAATTTATTAATATATTTACATTTCTTCTCAAAATCTTGGTGCGCTTTTTTTCTTGTTATAAAACAAGTGCATTGCTTTTCATTGGGATGACAACTTTATAGTTTAATGTTCCAGGAATTAGGTTATGCTTCATACATATGCACTTAAAATCATTAATACCCATTAAGTCTTGGTAAATACTAGTACTTCTGAAGTGCTCTATTGTATACTACTTTAATTCTCAGATTCTGATGAATATGTGTATATGAATTTACATTCCATTCAACTGATTTCTCTGCATCATTAACACATTTTATTCCTGCCACATAATTTATACATGGAATTAATCCATTCTACTCATGCCTTTAGGACTAAAAACATATTTATATAAGCTCACTAGAAAATCTCCACTGATAGGACAATACTAAAATTCTTGTAGGTAATCAGATTTATCAAATTTATTTTTGAAGTTGATTATTAACACATTTATTGTGAAACAAATAAGGCTTTTTTTGCTGCCAATCAAATATGTCAGATTCTTAGGGCTGCCTGGACAAATCCCTGCAATTTTCTTGGCAAAGGTTTTCAGAAGTGCTTTGCCATAATCTCTTAGGGCTGAGAGAAAGTGACTGGCTTCAACCAGTCATGCCTTGGGCAGATCTAGAACTCATGGTCTCTCGGTTTGTATTAATTACTACACCCAATTGTCTTGCCTTAATTACTACACCCAATTGTCTCTAAATAATGCTTACATGGGAGTCTTAATAAACACAATGATTCTTCCTCCATAAATGTAGAAATCTAAGACCTTTGAACTATGGTGCTGGAGAAGACTCCTGCGAGTCCCTTGGACTGCAAGGCAATCAAACCGGTCAGTCCTGAAGAGATCAACCCCGACTGCTCTTTAGAAGGCCAGATCCTGAAGTTGAAACTCAAGTACTTTGGCCACCTAATGAGAAGGAAGGACTCACTGGAGAAGAGCCTAATGCTGGGAAAGATTGAGGGCAATAGAAGAAATGGACGATAGAGAATGAGGTGGCTGGATGGAGTCACCGAAGCAGTAAGGCGTGAACTTAAATGGACTCCAGAAGATGGTAGAGGATAGGAAGGCCTGGGGTTGCGATAGGTCAGACACGACTTCACAATAACAACAAGACTAAGCACTTTTGACCAGACTGGTATTTTTCCATATGGAGAGACTAGGGCTGTGCAACAATGTACCTTTGAAGGAGAATTTGATTTGATAATGTGTGGGGGTGTTCATGTTGCACCTAACTCCTTAACGAAACTGGGTTCCCTGGGATTTATCCCATGGAAGATGTGTTTAAGGAGGCTGACGTGCTCTAAATAATCTATTTGAATCTGAATCACTGCACAATCTAACGGTTATATCCTAAAGTGCAGGGCCTAAGTTAAACCATATCTTTGTCAGTGCCATGTTTTGTCTCTCCCATTTATAATTCACAAGTTATTCCTTTTCAGTTTACTTAAGTTTATATATTAAAAATTTCTGCAATTATATTTGTTTCTCTTTGGAAATGTACTGTGATATGCAAGCCTAGACACAATGTAATTTACAACATACATTTCTCAGCATTATTTATAATCTGATAAGACTTCAACATTTAGCAAATAAATAGAAGTTGCCAATTTATACACAGCAATGTTTTCTTTCGGTATTTTAATACAAGTAGAACTGTACTGTACTATAGAATTGTACTGTCATAAAGAAAACAAACTAAGTCATAAATATTATCCAGAGCCAAGGGGAAAAAAAGATGAGTCTAAACCAGAGAATCCCCACCTTTTTGTCAAGCATTCAAAGTTCAATTCACAATAAGATGTATTAGAAATATCTAGAAATGTTTTCTAGAATTTGCCCTTGAATCTATTTTTAACTGGGGCATAGACCTTCAATATGGAGATCATTTCCAGGCATGTGCAGAAAAAGAAACAAAAGGAAGACAGGATACAAGGAAAAGCTCCAGATCGAAGGAAAAACGACTCTCAGAGCCAAGTCTTCGAACCTGGGCATTTCTTTTAGAAACTACATTTTTCTAGGATACATTCTTAGTCGGACCCTGAAAGTCAATCCGCCCTGAAAGTTTTCCTTACCCAGCCCCTCCTCTACCGTGAGAAAAGCCACTTACTCGCTTTACATCCCACACCACCATTATTACCAAAGACAAGCAATAAACATAGCCATACTTTGTTTTGCTGGGCTGTCATTGCTGAGTGGTTTGGGAATGAGTCCTACCGAGGCTGCAGACTTCAGAGCATTTCCGTAGCTCACTGATAAGTTTTCCGAGGCTTTCTTGGCCAGGGAGAAGATGGGAGCGGACCAGCTGGCATCTGCTGCCCCCCTTTCTTTGCCATCGCTTCTCAGGTCAGAGGCGCTGGGGATCTGGGCGCGATCAACGACTTCAAAATCCTCTCTCGATTCAGCCGCAAGTTCCTCGCCGCTCTGCCCGTCTTCGGCCATCTTTCCTTGGGTCATATGACACCCGTCACCATCAAGAGCTCCAGAACTTCTTCCGGCAGTTGTGCTGCGAGTTGGCGGCCGCGCCGTCGAAACTCGGTAAACAGAAGTAAAACCCCAAGAAGTATCCTAAATGAAAGTTTACGTAACTGACTTGCATTGCCGTTCATCTACTCTGGGTGGCCTCTCCCTGGTTGCCGGACTCTTTTTCTCACGTTTTTACTCGGAAGAAATCTCACTTGTGCTTAATGAGGTTTATTTCCCAATATTTTTCCCGAGATACCATCTCAGTTTCCATCGAAACTGGTGGGAGTTTGGTGTCTTCCCCATGCACACGCTTTTCTTAATTACCGCTTTCGCCGCCTTTGACTGAAACCCAGCAGGTTGATGCAGAACGATTAGTTACATCAACATAATTTCGCTGTAAAACAAACTATAACTCCCTTTGAAAGCCCAAATGAAAGATGGGCCTGAATACCGATGACATGTGTTATTGGGGGGGGGGGGGAGAGAAAGAACCGTCCGAAATAATACATTTTGATTTCATGTGCAAATAATTTACTGTTATGTTTTATATTTTTGTATGATGATCCGTGTAATCCTTCTAAAAGCGGCTAAATCATGAGTCATCTGAATGAAAGATTAAGCGCGTGCCTTGTTCTAATTGCAGTAAAGTTCTCTTTCTTCTCCAAGATGTTTTCCAAACAAGAGTCCTGGGCGTGGGGAACTTCCTTTAAATCTTCCTTGCTGATTTGTGTAACAGGTAATGCCATCAGTTTACAGAATGAAGTTTCACTGCCATCTAATGGAAAGATCTGGTAAATGCTGAATCTGTTGATTCAAACGTCTTAGAGAGCAATAGAATTTGTTATACTTCCAGGGCTGGAGAACTTTAGAAAGGAGCTGAAGCCCCTCTTTTGAAGACCTTTTATACGGAAGAAGGAAGTTTCACACCGTTCTATTTTTGTGAGTTCTGTTAATAGTAAGTCAGGCTGTACCTTGAACAATTATCTAGAACATATGCTTCAGATCTCATTTAAGCATAAACCCAGAACCTCTCTACTTCTTAAAGTAGCCCCTCTCACTATAATTATTCAACATTCAGCCGGTTGTTTCGATTGGATTTGTGTTAAAGGTACTATTGCAGGATATAAGCTGTTCCAAGTAAAGCTGCCTTTTGCAGTTGATTGATTGTGATTTTGTCAGTGCTGATGGTGTTTGAGCGGCATGTACTTGTGATTGGTAAACGACTTTTCTTCTAGTAGTCCTCAGTTGCTGGCTCTGCTTGCTCAGCCAATAGTCCTGAATTCTGTAGTTCTTTTGTCACCAGATGTCCAATAACACCTAGTGTGGTCCTTGTTGACCTGGGTGACATTTGATTTAATACTGGTTTCTGTAAATTATATCTCACCATATTTTTTTTATGGAAGAGGCACTTTTTCTTTCCTTTGATGAGGCCTGTCTAGTATGACAGAATCTATGGCACAGCTCTAATCCTCCCCAGAGCACGCAAACTCCACAACTATGTCAAGGTAGTATCTCATGGGTATTGTTATATACACAAAAATGTGAAATCATACCTGCCAGTTCTTTAGCTGGTGTTGGCCTTCATATTCATCATTTTTTTCCCCTAGGATGTCAATAAAGTATATGTGCAAATCCATGTAGCCTACCCTTTTGTAATTGATAAATGGAAATTTTGTCAATGTGCACATTTTCTAAGTGCCATCCAAGATTTTGAACATTTCCAGGAGATGTCCAATTTTTATTTCTTCAAATTCTTTTACCCTTCCAGCATTTGTATAATGCTATTTTTGAGTTTCCCATAGATCTTTCCAAAACTGAACGATTTCTTTTTTGTTTACTTTTCCATTTTCAGAAATTCTTTTGCCATTTATAGAATGTCTTTTGGTTTAGTTTAAGCTGAATATCAGAGAGATACTGGGCTCACGTGAGCTCAGACATGTCTTCCGAATTATTTTTGAAGTATCTGTGACTGGTGGTTTTTGGCAATCAGCTTTCTTGCTTGTCAACATTCACTGTCAGATCTCTAACTTTAGCTTCATTTTGCAAGGAAGTTTTGTCTCAATATCAGGAATTCAATATTATTCTAATGAGTTAAAATTAGCCCAGAAACAGGTGCAATGAAATAGGAAATTATCTTTCAATTATATCAAATAAACAGAGAAGATACTAGCGGACATAGCTAACAATCAGTTGCTTTCTTAGAGCAGAAGAGTAATACTGGATTTGACCAAATGGTTATCTAATCAAACCCCACAGGACCCAACTGGATGCTAATAAAAAGACTACAGTAAGGAGTTTGATAGTGACATGTATTCATATGCGTGCTCTTTTTGGCGTACAGTAATAACTGTATCTCCTTTCAATTTATCTAATTTTCTTTTGAAGCATATCAAGTTGGCTACCATATCACCTATGAAAAAACTCATTCCATAACATAAGATACACTGTATGGAGAAATGTTTCCTACTGTCATTTTTTACCTGATTTTTATTCTTCATTCTCCAGCCAGTCCTTTTTAGATGGATTAGGCTATAATCCCCAGAATTCATTGTGTGTATGCTTAACTATGCATTTTGACTGGGAATTCTGGTAGAAGGAGTTGGATATATTTGAAAAACAGGAGATTAGGCTGGGCGGTTCCAGTCCTTTCCCATGTTCTGTAATTGTATGAGGGATTGGGCAGAACATAAGACTTTCCATTAGATGTCACTGTAGTAGTTTCCTATTCAATTTAGAATCTCTTCTCACAGTATTTTACATAATACTGATTTCTTTTTAAGTCCTCAAACAATGTAACTAAATAACATCATTTTGAAAAATTAATACCTTCAAATAAAATATGTTTTTAAAGATAAACTTTATTATAGTATTAAAAGTATTAATACTATACTTTTAATAAATGTAATATACTTTTACATTTTCACAGCAGAAAAGAATACTGTAAAAATAGGAGACTCCATCAATTCCTCCCTCTCTGCTGTATACAAATTATAACACTTTTTCATTCCACTTCCAAATCATATTATCAGAGTAAAAAGAAAATATTAATAACTCTTAAAGAGATTAATAGAAGCACACATTTATGTTTAGGTATCCTTCCAACTTCCACATACTTGTTGCAAAATGAGCATGTTAAAAAAATCTACTTATTGGGTGCTTTGCTGTGTAATGTGATTATCCTAGAACATGCTACCATACAAAAACTTTCTTCTTTTAGTAATTAATCTTCCCGAGTTTATGACACTTCTTTCAAGCAAGTTATTTGCAGGACTGCTTCTCCTTGAGGATATCAGCCTATCCTTCTAGGTTAGATAGAATGGATACATGCCAGGTCCCCTCCCTTAAATGTTGCCATCTGATGGGACCTCAGCGTTATGCCTTTTTGGTGGCCACCCCAATCCTCTCATTGAAGATCAGAGGGACCCCTATCCTTTTAGACTTCCAGAAGGTTATGAAGACCTGGCTTTTCCCTCAAACATTGGGCTAGGATGGGAGGGTGGGGGTGGGTGAGTTGTGAATCCTGGCTCCATGGCTCTGGAAACAGTTTTTTCTTTCCCTTGTCTCTGAAAGTTTGATGGCCTCTAAAAGGGGCTTAAAGACCTTTTAATTTGATTAGAGGATTAGTGTAGGGCTTGGCTATTCCATCTTATTTCTCATTAATCTTGACATGACCTAGATTCATACCTGTTTTAATTTAATGATAGATGTATACTTTCTCAGTTGTATTATAGGGCATTGTTGTAAACATATATGATTGTTGCATTTGGTTTGCTTTCAGGTTAGTATTTGTTTATTTGTTTGGCTGTAAGTTACGATCTAATTTTACTGGATGAATTTTTTAATTGTGTTCTTCTGATTTGTGCCATCTCTTGGTAAAAGAATAACAAATAATAACAATTGTAATAAGTGTCTTCGGTGCAATGAAAACAATTTGAGCACCACTTGATCACCATTGGCATTGACACCACTGGTCAATAGCACCACTGGTCAATAGCAAAAGCTAGCTGCACTTGGAACAGCCTGCAAGGATACTTTAGCAACCTCAAAGAACACATTTACCTATCTCAGGTCCCTGAAAAGAACTCAATAGGTGAATAAAAATGCCAAATCCAGTCTAAACATCTGGCTGGCTGTGCAACGAAACATAATAATAAGATGGGGCAAATGAATCTATAATAGTTGGATAGAACACAGAATCTTTAGGAATTAGTTGCGTAATCATCAAGGTTCTTCTTAATACCAGCCTGTGCAAAAATAGTCTTCAAAATTAACAAGATTATAGTATTAAATGGAAGAAACACACACCCAACAGAAAAAATAACAATATAGAAACCCATGCAGCATTGATCTATATCTTAAAGAGCACCAGACTGAACCCAGGCTATGTTAGTCAAGTTTTTTTTCCTGTTGAGGTCAATATTGCTAACTCCTAAAGAATAGAATATCTTGTCTCTAATTTCAGTTGACTTAAATTTAATCAAACCAATGTATGTGTGTATTTGTGTGTTTGCACATGTTTTCTGTCTGCCATTGATTCACAGTATTAATTTTAGGAATCACAATTTTGTCTGGCTTCTTAAAATCTACATTGAAACATTCTCTCATTTTCTTCAACTGAAGATAAACATTTGTTTCCAACTGGCTCTGTATAATTTTCCAATAATTTGTTTGCAAATTTTCTCCACTCATCACATTTTACATGTGAGTGGAGGGCAAATAGAGGACACAGTGCTGAAGATTATAGATGGGTAATCTCAAAAATGGACTATATTCTATATCAGCAGTTATGATACCAATTCTTTTAGAACTGAATGCATTTAGATACATATGATGATGTACATGGGCCTTTCCCAACACAATCCAAACATGACCAGGCATCATGTTTTTCTTGCTGTTGCCTTCATCTCATGCCCTGTCCAACCTGTGAATGAATAAAGCTTAAGTTGTCCTTAGCTATATCAGTATCAAGTTGTACATCTCTCTTTATCCTAATACTCTCCAAGAGTAGCCTTGGATATAAGCCATCATATACTTTTCACCCATTTTGTCGAAGTGTGAAATCAAGTGACCAGTAGTGGATGGGATCAGGGCAATGTTTATTGGGCTTTCAGTTTGTTATGGGCCAGTCCCTGGTCTGCCACTCTGGTCTCCTGAAGTAGCCAGATG